GTGCCCCTACACGACACGGGCGGGAGTTTATTTTGAGTGATTCTGTTTTGTTTTTCTTTTATTCAAATTTCGAACTGTCATTTTTATTTGGCGCGTATTTTGTATGATTGGTGTTTATTTTGTTGTCGATGATTTCATTATTTTTTTTATTTAAATAAATAAGTTTCTGTTGTTAAGAATTACCTTATTTAGTTGCTATTACGTTCATTGATCGAAACTAGTTCAGCAAGTACTATTTCGTTCATTGATCGAAACTAGTTCATTCATATAATACAAAACCTTTTTCCTTTTATTATCTTTCTCGATGTAGTAGATACACAAACAAACTGAGGTTAGGTTAGAATTATAAATGTGACACGGAACAATGTCACAAATATCGTAGATAATAATTGTAAAAATATAATAATGTTAAAGAAAATAACCAATATCGCAATCACTTAACGAATGTACGAATGGCAGGTTCGAGTTGGCGCCGCGCGCTCGTTCGCACCCACCTCGTAGTAATCTAATATGGCGGACAGCTGCTCCCAAAAGCTTCCTTTTTATATTTTTCGGGCGAATTATCACCGACACTCTGCAGCAGGACGAGGATGCGAATCAAATTGAAAGCCGACTCAATTATATTACCAAGCTCTTCTAGGGCTGGCAATGATCGTATGGAGTTTTATGTGTGGAAGAAAAAATTATGTAAATGTGTAAGTGACTTTACATGTCATCATTACTTCATTTTTATGATTGATTATCAAAACTGAAATACATAGCTTGAATGCTATAAATTAACATTTACTAGCTTATTTCAATTACTGTGCAGAATAACAGTTACTATTTAACTAATCCACACAACCATTGATCCGTCAAATAAATTCCTATACATAATTCCACATACCTCTTCTTGGTAGCGACACCCCTTAATCCCAGTAGCACGTGCCGTGAGGTGCGAGCGGGGGTACGGCGCGCGGGGCAGGGGGTGGGTAACAGCCTCATACCGTAATACCATTCCGAGATGAGCGACTTAAACGCGTTACAGACCACCACCGTTACCTGACCTCCCTCGACCCCCGCAACGCTCGCATATCCATCGATATTCCAACAATCCAATGAAGTATTGAAGACCAATCTTATGTGGGCGCGTGCACGTTCAATTCTCAACTGTTTTGGTGGTTTTGGCAACGAACTAGAGTGGAGTGGGTTTTGACAATGGTAGTTAACTAATGGAAGTGGATGTTCGACGCGGCGGACAAACGAAATTGGATATTGTCTTACATGGCTCGTTACGTCGATTGGCGGTGTTACCGAGATGGGCCGGTCAATGGTGACGTGTGACATTTGATTGTAATTACGTTCGTAACTTTAGTTTCGCTGCAGTTTGATGCGGGAGCTACTTTTACGGTTAAGTAATATTGGCAGCATAATGGATTAGCTATCGGTTTGTGGTAAAGGATAGTAAAGTTAGGATTAATGATGCGAGCTAAGCCAGGCTGCAATATGTTAGGTTAGGTTTACTCTAGATCAGCATCTATTGTATTTTAGGGGATTATCAAATTCTCTCGCTCTTCTTCTCACTCTCTTCTAGTGGAGTAAGACTGTATTAGACTCTTATTCACTAAATACCACCCTTCTTTCTCCTGTTCCGGGGCGGGGATGCGGTACATTATTGCAAGGTGCAAACGCATTTAAAACTTGTCAACCATTATTCTTAAGCAAGAAATTAAATATTTATTTTTACTATTTATAATTTCAAACATATCTAGATCGATCAAAATCATCTCTTACTCTTGAATCCCCGAATAATATAAAAAAATCTTGCCTACCTATAAACATTTTACGTGCATACAATCCGCATACAGAAACACTTAACAGCCATTATGATTGGACAGATATGTGCAGTAAAGCAATAAAAATGTTGATCGGGAACGACAGCGCGCTACTAAATTGTGGCATTCAACGATATTGGCCAATTTTTATTTGGACATAAATAAAACGCGGGACGGTAGCGTCGAGCAATTTGCTTAAAACAGCCGCTCGCGATACGGTACCGAAACGGATACGGTACGAGTTGTTACTACCGAGTCTGCTGGCTAGGGTACGTGAACTACTGAAGACATTTTCCTCAATGGCTCGATATGGTAGATGTCTTAGTTTATATTTAAAAGTAAGTAGTCGTAGATCAAAATTTTTACATTGTACGAGTATTTCAAAAAGAAAATGATATGATTTTGAATAAATAGGTAAGGAGCGGTGCAAATTATTACCTACACATCCATTTCCTTTTCAAATCAGTGTATATAACTAACTACCTAAACGTCTTTGACAAATCGTGATACTTACAAAACGACTCATCATCAGCCAATAAGTGCCCACTGCTGAGCAAAGGCCTCTTCTCATACGGAGAGGGTTAGAGCATTAATCACCACGCTTGCTCAATGCGGGTTGGCGATTTGAAACTTATAATTAGAAATTATAATTCCAGGTTTCCTCACGATGTTTGCCTTCACCGTATGTCAGTAGTGTCTAAATAATCATAGAAAGTACATATAACTCGGAAAAAGGCACATTGGTACTAGCCAGATTTGAACTCACACCCTCATGCATGAGAAGCGGGCTCCTTCACCTCCGGGCCAATTAATACCAAGTATTTCTAGGGTCAATTTAAATCGCTTTGTTTTAAATATAGGTACACAGTTTTTGGACAGCGCTCAGACGTTAGTTACATTTTAAAGAAATTAAAAAACAAATGCATAAAATAAAAACAAAATTAATCAACTTACTCTACTGAAAGTTTCTCTCAAAGTGACTTGCAATATATGCATTTCAGAAAAAAGCACTATCAAATTGAATAATTCCATAACTCCATGAAGAACTCCATTCATTCACTCGGATCAATTTCGAAAAAGGCTTTTTGACCCAATAGTACCCTCGTTCACGTCCGGGTTACAGAGCACTCGCATTACATTCATTCATTCGGTCTCCAGTTCAATATCATTCACTCTCCACATTGCACGGGGCGAAAAGATAAATCGAAAATGAATTTCGGTTGGCAAACTCTATATTGAATCTAGATGGAATTTTCTTTCAAAGTTATCGATGGAATTCCATAAAATATAAGGATACTAAGCTTATCAAATTTTAAAACGTCGTAATAGAGGATAAGGTAATCTATCAGTAATTTCTTATATGGATTTTTTTTATGTTATAAGACGGCAAACGTGCTGTAGAGGACGAGTGCGTTGCCGACCCAAGATAAGGGATTTTGGGAAGGGAAGGATTGGGCCTCTGGTAACCTCACTCACACGGCAAAACACAATGCTGTGGTTATTTTACGCCGGTTTTCTGTGAGGCCGTGGTATCACTCCGGTCGAGCCGATACATTCGTGTCGAGGCATGGCTCTCGCAATTTTAAAAATTTTTTATTCCGATACGCACGTAACGTCTTGTGTACCTTAACAGAAAATTATTTTATATTTATTCTTGACTATGATTGTACCTACCAACTTGTATATTTCAGCGAATAATACCAAAGACAATCAAAACTATAAGTTCAAGAATTGCATAATATTAAAAAAACATTTTCTATTTAATTTTAGAAAACCGTTTGAACCGATTTTTTTTTTTTTTTTTTTTTTTTTTAAATAAACGTTGCCCCACACTAGGATTTTCTCCTGTGTCGTGGGTGCGTTTACAAACATACAATTTTCACATGCACATCACACCCAGACCCGGAACAACAATCTGTGGATCACACAAAGAGTTGTTCCGTGCGGGAATCGAACCCGCGACACGTTGCGCGGCAGCCAGTTGCCCAGCCACCGCGCCAACCGTGCAGTCGTATTATTATTAATTACACTTTTTATTTATTGAGATTATTTTAAGTTTTGTTTCAATATAAAACAATTATCATTTTAGAAGCAGGTATAACGCGCGTATTTTATTATATTTACTACCTTTATATATTTTTATATATTATATTTATTTACCTTTATTATATTATATATTTTTAGGAGCTATGTCTTAAAGTTATTAAGAACTTTAACTTGGAACTGCCTCAGCAGTGCTGTCAGGTCCTGTCCATTATGAAGATATCGCAGAACGCTATATACCCGGCCATTGTATATACATACCTATATATTTCAAAAAAAAATTTTTTCATTCATATTATGATAAATACAAATAAATTCTACCTATAAAGCACTTTACATTAGCAAAGGAGTTTATTTTTTTACATACTTCAAAAATCCTAATCAAAATTAGCAATAAAAACGAATGAAATTTTGAACCCTACACATTGGCCGTACATGCAATAAAGGGCAATGTTTTACGACGTATCATTTGAAAGTTACTGGGAAAAACGTTAAGGAAAGCGTCGCTTCTGAACGATATAGAGAACGACATTCGCGAACGATATGAGACGCGGAATGGTTTTGAATGATATTGAAGTTGACAGTTCAGACATGGCGCGGTGGCGACGCGCGTAAATTCTACATTTTATGTACCTACAACTTATGAGTTAAAGTTGAATATGATTTTGTAGGGTTTAATCCCAGACATGTTATATAATATACTGCTTATGTTAAACTGTATTTTAGTGTTTATTAAAAAAAAGGGAATATGAAAAATAAATTTGGTTATTGGATTGTATAAATGTGGGTCCCTTGGACCTAACCTCTAGGATTCTTTTTATTTTAAACTTAAGCGAAATAGCGAACCGTAATGCACTCTAAATTAACTCATGTTAACCATAATCTATTTAAGATTATCTGGCTTTTAAGATACGAGGTATTTTTACTTTAGATGAATGTACTTTCATTATGTTTTATTAATAAAATAAATAAATATTGTTTAGTTTTATTTGTTGTAGCAATGCGAGGCACAATAGAAAAGCAGTAGGTGAGCCGATGCCGGCGTCCGCTTGGTGTTTAATAAATTAAATGATTCATCATGTTATTGCTGGCCTAATTTGACAGTCGTCAATTTCTTCATTTTAAAGGTATGTAACTACTAACCTGCACTCTGGCCTCCGTGAGATTGATCTTGAGAGCGAGATCCTCTCTTGTGAACACATCTGGGTAGTGTGTCTGCGCAAACGCAGTTTCCAGTTCCTCCAACTACGAAACAAAAAAATAAATTGTATTGTATCTCTATACACAAAACAAATAGTATTGTTAAATTATTTACATTAAATTATTTGAAAATCACGTGAATTAAGTGAGAAAAACTCTACTAGTTTTACGTTCCTATGCACTCTTTTTCATGTAACTATAGTAAACCTATGGCTCTTGAAACTATGAGAGCTCTTCTCGGTCAATTCGAGTTAATCGTTACATTGATTTTTGGGTCCTAACCTTCCAATCGAGGAAAACCCAATATTATGATTAGGCAATGACACTGGCTTGTGTCAAAATTTACGTAAAGTGTGGCTACTTTTCAGTTCAGTTCTTTTTTAATTCAGGCGCAATAGTTGTCATTGACGAATTATTAGTCTTATGTTTAAAATGTATATTTCTATATTCTATATACATATATTGTGATGTAGATGATTTAAAAATATCAATCGGTGCATTTAGATAGTATTACCTGTTGCAGTGTGAAGGTGGTCCGGTTGCGCCTCTGTTTCCGTCGCACGAACGTATCATCGTGGATAGCTGGGTGATACGAGTAGCTCGTGTCTGTCGGGAAAATTATGGTAAATTAAAAAAAAATTGCCAAGTGTAGTCATTAGAAGTATTCACCTATGATTTCTCTAACCAAGGGTAAGGAGGGAGGGAGTTTCAGACTCTTACTGACTCTTCCTCCCTTTCCTTCTCCTGCTTTAGGCCGAGTCCATCAATCAGTCATCCCCGGCAGAAGAAATACGACATTAATTCAAATTTTTCTACTGTCTAGATTTCTTAGTTATTTTACACGCATTTAATATGTTTATGCTTGTTTGTTGCTTGTTTTTTGCGACTCGAGGATATTACAGCCATAAGATCAGTTCCTTTTTTTTAATTGCCATTATCTCGCTCTTGGTAAGTGATCATGCAACCAACCATGGAGCATGCCTATCCATAAGCAACTTATTCGCTCAGGCCTTTCATGTGATAGAGACTTTGCCAGACTTCGTGGCAAGGTAAATAATGAGACTGTAGATGGTTAAGGTCTGTTTATTACTTTAATTGCTGGTGCTTATATACTAAGAAGATGCGTGAGATTTTCAGATTTAGCTATCCTAACAAACGTGCAACAATTAACATGTATGTCTTATCTCTATCGTATCTAAGTAATGTAGCGACGTGATAGTGCCGCTACATATACTCCCCCCTTTTAAAAATAATTAACATATAAATTGAAAAAAATTAGTATGTACCTAATATAATAACTTAACCTTGCTGATAAATTACATCCTATGCGTAATGTAATGTCATTGTTGCTAATTCGAAGGAAATAAAAACTGCTGCCTTTGTTGTGACGGCGGCGGCAGTCGATGAACTATCCACTTTTACTTGTGTCAGCAAGTGACGAATCGTACTGTCGGCTTAACCGCCCGTCCTGACTTCGTGATGTACGTGTTCCGCCCGTTGTGATTATTTTCTGAATTTGGCACGTTCGTTCCACTATTGAAGACAAATGCAGGTTTTAATCGGTCTTGCACGTGCTGATACCGGTGGTCCTTTAGTGATAATATGATGCTTAATCTTGTGTTTTGGAGTAGTGTGGAGGGAGGCTGGTTTCGTAATATCCTCGTATTCATTTAATAGTTGAGTAATGCGTGGATTCGTCTCAATGTTAATAGTGCGGATTGTTTGCTGCGTCGATTTGATCAGGGTTGCGGGCGTTGTCAGCTCAGTTACCCTATCTATGAGTTTTCGACCAGCTATATCGACTAATAGCTTATAATGCTCTAAAAAATCTGCTCCAATAATCGGTTGTGTTACATCGGCGATGACAAAGTTCCATACAAAGTTTCTTCGTAGCCCGAAGTTTAAAGAGAGTGTTTTTTCACCATATGTCTTAATTTTTGTACCATTGGCGGCATAAAGTATACATTGTTCATCTTGTATTAGTGAATGTCTCTGTGGCTTGCTAATAACTGAAATATTTGCTCCCGTGTCAATCAAAAATCTCATACCACTTTTTCGGTCGGTAATAGTGAGGCGGTTGGACGGGTGAATAGCACAGAGTTCCGCCGTTGTCCGTGCTTCAATTAGTTTCCCTGTTTCCTTGAGTTGAGATCCTGTTTCCAATCACAAGGTTGAACACACTTTTGTGCATATTTTTTAAATCTTCCATGGTAAAAACAAAAGTGCCTTCTTTCTCTTGAACTCGACTGTGGTAGGAAATGCCGACGATTGGAATAACTTTGAGTGCTGCGTCGATAGTTTTTTTGACCTTGCTGAATTGCATTTAGTTCCAATTGCATTTCTGCTAACTGTGCTAGTATGCATGACATTGTATCGTCGCCAGATTTGTTTCCGTTTACAGCTGACACCTCTGTACGTGTTGAATTTATTAATATCTTGTCCGCGATCTGGCTCATCTTGTTCACATCTATGTCTTCTGTGACTGCTAGAACCGAAGTCACTGATGGTGGCAGAAGCCTCAACCATAGAAGTTTGATGGTTTCGTCGCTGATATTTCCGTTACTCAGGGTCCGCATCTTGCGCAGAAGATGTGATGGTTTCTGGTCGCCGAGATCCATTTCAGACAATAATTTTTGGAGCTGACGTTGGTCTGATTCCTCATAGCAACTGATTAGGCGTTCTTTGATAGCCTTGTACTTTTCTATTGGCGGTGGGCAAGTAATGAGGTCACTAACCTGTATTATTTCTTCTTTTGGCAGTTTTGCAATGACCGTATAGTACTTGTAATCGTCTCCTTGCTTCTGTGGTGCTACTATGGCTTCTAGTTGCTTAAACCATAATCTGGGTTGGTCCCTCCAAAGTTCCGGCTGATATCTCCAAGGCTTCTTGTTGGCTGCTGCTTGATTTGCAGGGTGAATGAGTCATGTTGATTGTTCTTCGTCGGGTCACCAATTTGCCAGACTTCGTGGCAAGGTAAATAATGAGACTGTAGATGGTTAAGGTCTGTTTATTACTTTAATTGCTGGTGCTTATATACTAAGAAGATGCGTGAGATTTTCAGATTTAGCTATCCTAACAAACGTGCAACAATTAACATGTATGTCTTATCTCTATCGTATCTAAGTAATGTAGCGACGTGATAGTGCCGCTACAGAGACTAACAAACATCCAGGCTTACAATTTTTCAATTACTAATTATTTGGAAGATGTGTACAAGGTTATCGTAAGCCTAATGATTACCAAGTAAAGGTCATAGCATTAAGCTAGCGACTAGACAATCGCTAGTGGCAGTAGGAAGTGCCGCGCCATTACACCAAGAGTGCCAAGTCTCCCCAGCATTTGTTATTGCTATCGGAACGGGCCGCGAATTGATGAGGTGGACACTTTGTACGGTGACTAGGATTTAACGGGCAAACGTGGATTGTGTTAAAAAAAAGTGGAAATAAATAATTCTTAAATTTAATTTATTAGTTTTTTTATGAACTACTTTTTTATTTTTTAAAGTAAGATAATTTTTTAAAAAAATGACGAAAAAAAATTTTGACATTACTAGTTTATATCATATCTATATTATTTTTAATATCTGTTTTTCTTCGTTTTTGCGATTGTGCTCAATGCCGAATACACGTATTTTTCTTTCTTCCATGTAGATATCCAAGTAAGCTATATGTAATGTATGTTACCTACTCCGTCTTATTAGAATAAGAACATGAATACAACCAAGCACAAAACTTCGAGAAAATATAGCATTTTTACAAATATTTAAATTACTAAACTATAATATACAATGAACACAAATAATTACAAAGAAAATAAAATTAGAATAACTATCAATAAAATAAATCCTGCAAACAATTTTTGCACGTATGGTCGTCCTACAGTGACGCAATATATCGGGTGACAATCGCTAGGGCTGTCCACCCCAACGTTTTCTATTTCTATTATTCCTAGTATAATGTCGTTGGCAACATTACTTGACGAGAATTGCCCCTAATAGCCGTATTAATGACGATGACTTTACTTGTTTTGTCTATGGTTCTAGTTTTGTTGATTTAGGGTACGATTCGAGTAATTATGCTGTATTGAGAGCATTTTTTTTATATTTGGTGTTTCGGATAAGAGTACTCGGATTTTCACGACTTTTGTTGTGAGACAGCGGTTTTTCGGATTAGTGTTGACATAAGTACTAAGTATGTGTATAAAAACTAAATTTTAAATGCAAATTGGAAACAGCTGCAATCAGAATTCAAATTTCGAAGTGTTTACTCAAGTTGGCATCTTCAGTTCTTCGAAATAGCATCATTTTTTTACAGTCATTCATTATTGTTTTACTTGCTTACCAAATATACGAAAAATTATGTAGACTGCATCCTTTTTAATTGTTAAACCATACTAGCTACTCTAGCTACGCTATCTCGCGCGGTTTTACACGCTGCTCAGCTCCATTTGATTGTAGCGTGATGTTTTATAGCCTATAGCACTCAGGAACATTGTAGCTATCTATCAGTGAAAGAATTTTCGCAATCCGACTAGCGGTTCCAAAGATTACCCCCCTACATAGAAACATACAAACTTACAAATTTTACCTCTTTATAATATTAGTATAGATTACAAAAACTTATTCTTAATCAGCCAATTCACATCTTTCTTATAAATAACTAGTTACACTCGTTCGGTTTCTACTGATCATAGCGTGATGTTTTATAGCAAAGCCTTCTTTGATAAAAGGACTAACAAACACGAAAAGTATTGTTCAATTCAGAACAGTAGTTCTAGAGATTAGCACGTTCAAACAAACAAACTGTACAGCTTTATAAAATTTGTTCATAGGTTTGAAACAAAAACGGTTGATATAAAACTTATGTAGTTGAAAGCAAGGCACCGACAAACTAATGGAGTATATTAATTGCTCCAATTTGTACCGGAGCGAATCACTCGACGAATTTAATTTGTTATTCGCTTAGCTCTTCATGATACAAATGTTGCCCCGTTTTTAATAGCTTGTACTGTTTGTCTGTCTGTCGTTTGGAATCAACGGATTATTTTGTTCATATCTTTGGTTATATCGACTTTTTTTTTTTTTTTTTTTTGTGAGGGGAAAATCATCAAATGACTTCTCCCGCCCAGGGCCGGGCAGGAGGGAGTGTCAGACTCTTACTGACTAAAAACCCCCCTGTTCCTTCTCCTGCTCTGTGCCGAGGTCGCGGTACCTTATTGCGCTTACCCCGCAGCCCCGGCTGAACATCAGCCCTTTAGGGCCCCGTCTGTGGTGGTCTATTGGCTCTTTGAGGCGCGCGCGGAACGCTACGCGCCGTACGCTGTGTACTTACGAACTTGTTTTATTCAAGATTTTTGTACATTTCATAGTTAATGTTAATAATGTCGAGGGGGCCCAGAGCTTAAGGCGCCCGCTTCTCATGCATGAGGGTGCGAAACCTGGCAAGTACCAATGTGACGTTTTCAGAGTTATATGTACTTTCTATGATTATTTAGACACCACTGAAAAACGGTGAAGAAAATCATCGTGAGGAAACCTAGACTTATGATTTCTAATTATAAGTTTAAAATCGCCGATCCACCTTGAGCAAGCGTGGTGATTGATGCTCAAACCTTCTCCATGTGAGAAGAGGCCTTTGTTCAGCAGTGGGCACTATAGGCTGATGATGTAATGTTAATAATGGCATAGCGTTACTAAACATGATGTCGGTCAACATAAGGCCTGAGTGCCTAGTTCAATTTTGCTTTTATACACATATAACGTGATGGACAAAATTTACGAGTGTCGATGTTTTAATTGGCCTATTCAAAGTACACCAATCAATCAGATTTTTAGTTTAAGTGTAATTTAGTTTCCATAACACTAAATTAGGACTCGTCATAAACTTTGAAATGTGTGAACTCAAGATAGACTCTTATAAAATTCGACTAACTAGAAAAAAAACTAACTAAAGATAAGCAATCGGTGCCGCCTGCCGCCATGTAAACGTGCAATGCCAAATGAGTTGCTGGCCTAATGGGGATAAATAGTTTTGGGTTTTAGGGGTTGAAGAAGAATTAAGTTCCTTCACGACTTGCGATTAAAATAAAATTATATTTAAGGGATAATTAACCTTATTATATAACATTGATATTGACACCACATATTTACCACAAACATCTACTGTAAGTCCAACTGTCGACGAAATGTCTCCATCACTCGAATTTAGACCAAATAGCTTAAATTAATTGGTTCAATTTATATTATTGCGAAGTCACTTAGTAAAATTAATCCAGTTTTTGCGCTACTGTTTGTAGAGCTCGAGTTTATTATATTTTTTCGTTTGATAACATTATTTTGTTTCACTTGATTGATGAATTTAATTTAAAATTCGTAATGTTGTAATTGGTTTAATGTATCTACCTACATACGTTGTTATGATGTTTTAAATTGAAACTATACATATATATACACAACTGTTTGTTTAATAACTATATATATACTATTTTTTTTATTAAAAAGGAACCTATTTATCATTTTGAAAATATTTGAAGGTCCTTTTTTATCTTTTTATTTATTGCATTCCACAATGTGTTTCTTAGGTGGTAAATTATAAATTATGAGATCATAATGGACCCTGTCGGGCACAGCAAAGTATAATTAAAAGTAAAAGTTAAAGTAAAAGTAGGAGAGAGGAAGAGAGCTTTATTAAGTTTATTTAATAACTAATATTCTAATCATTATATTATTTCTCATTTAAATATTCGTTGACACTATAATAACATTTTTTTAGCAAGAACTGTTTTAGTTTACTTATAAATAGGTTTAATTTTGTTTCATTCTTTATTACTTCTGGAAGTTTATTATAAATTTTTATCGACATTACGTATGTGCTTGTTAAATGTATTTTTAATCTAGAATCTGGTAAATTTAATCTATTTTTATGGCGTAGTGTGTACTTTTGTTGTTTATTTTCCCTTGTGGTAAAGAAGTTTTTATTTTTGCGGACAAATTTACATATTTCCAAGATATAAATACCCGGCAGAGTTAAAATTTTTTGTTCTTGAAAGTGGGGTTTACAGCTATCAGTGTCGTCAATATTTACTAAGATTCTAATTAGTTTTTTTTGGAGAGTAAAGAGTGTAGGTGTATCAGTGCTATGTCCCCATAATATAACACCATAACTAAGCCAAGCATAAGCGTACGCGTAGTAGGTTGTGAGGGCCGTTTGGAGGTTGGACTTTTCCCGCCCTTTGTGATGTGAGAAGGATTGTCTGACACTTACTGGCTAAAAACCACCCGGTTCTTTCTCCTGCTCCGGGCCAGGGTCGAGGTACATAATTTCACTTGCACCCACAACCCTGGGTGGATACCGGCTCTAGTGGACCCCATCCGTAGTGGTATGATGGCTCTTTAAAAGGTAATGGGAGAAAACTAAGCACCTTTAATGTTTCTCCATCATATTGTACCTACTTAAAAATATGGCTATTATCTAGATACATTTTTCTATTATATTGAAGTGTAGGTACCTACATTCAGAAGTAGTTGGATAAATTTGTACCAGTAAAGTTATCGTCATGAATCTAAACTTATATTATAAAGAGGTAAAATTTATAAGTTTGTATGTAGGGGGTAATCTTTGGAACCGCTGGTCGGATTGCCAAAATTCTTTCACTGATTGATAGCTACAATGTTCCTGAGTGCAGTACTGAAAATATCACGCTACGATGCAATGGGGCCGAGTAGCGGGTAAAACCGCGCGAGAGTAGCTAGTCTTTTATATTTTCAGTGTAGGTACCTATGTTTTACTGTTAGTGTACTTAGATAAATATATAAAATAAAAGAAAATACAAAAGAAACTGATTTCAAAACAAAGATAAGCAATTACTTTATATTGTAATTAGGGTCTGCTCTTTATATAATTACCAAAGGTACCTTCCCGTCCAGATTACACAGATTATAAATATTTTCATTAATTGAATGTTAATAATTGAGCGGCCATCAACTTCGGTGTAGAAAAATCCCTCCGCAACGGAAATTAAAAAGTGTTTCACATCCGGCGGAAGTGGGTCCGGTCTGAGCTTGAGTGCAGCGGAAAAAGTTGGACGAAACCGGGTGGATTAACTAGCTTTCGCTGTTTAATGGAACGCTACGGTAATAATAATTCGATATTTATAAGTTTTATGAATTTTTCTTTGAAATAAATTGTGTTTCTACGTTGGAAGTAAAGGTCCCTAGATACGGTACGTCAGAAACTAAGTAGATAGGTATTTTACGATGACATAGATACTGTTTTATTGCATTTTGGAAATTTATCTGGAACTGATTGCAATTTAAATACATTTATTTGGGTTTAGTATGCTAAAATGAAGTGTTTGTTTGTTGTTCTTCATGGACAAGATGACTAAATTGTTTAAAGTTGTGATGGATAAAATGAAAAATAAAACAACATTCTATCAATGTTTGATTCTTATTTTGAACAGTAAATATTTATCTAAAATAATTATTCGCCTGCATGGTAAATAAAAAGTAGGTAGCTTTTGGCCTCATGAGAGGACCTATCTACATACCAAATTTCAACCAAATCGGTCCATCCGTTTTTTGGGTGAACAATTAACAAACATACATCCATAAATTCTAACAAACGTTTACAATAATAATATTATAGTAGATTGACCTGTATCAATCCAGATTATAAAAATAAGTAAAACAAAAAAAGAAACACGCTCTAATAACTTCACATAAAATAACTTTTTAACAATGCAAATAGAAAATTAACTTTAACACGTAGCGCAGAGACGTCAGAATTGCTTAAACTAATATTCGGGGAGTGTGTAACACAGGGTGTTACAATTTGCATGTTAAATAGTTATGCGATGATAACAAGATGGGAGAAACTAGAAATAAGTGGTTTTCGTGTATTATGGAATACATCTACTAATATGTTCACGTAGTTCTTGTATTTTATTGGATTTTATATCATTCAAAGTCAAAGTCAAAATCATTTATTTCAACTAGACCCATACAGGCACTTTTGAACGTCAAACAAATTTTAAAGATAAGTATAAAGTGTCAGTCTGTCGGTCAGTCCTCTTAGTGAAGCTATTCGCTCGTTCCAAAGTGTTGAATTATGACATGAATTATGACACTACATAGTTTAAATAGGTACCTACATAGTATAAAACAAAGTCGCTTTCTCTGTCTCTATATCCCTATGTATGCCTAAATATTTAAAACTACGCAACGTATTCTGATGATGAAAAATATCTGAATTGGATAGCTTCTTAGATTAATAATAACCTATTTGGACTGATTATATGATATTAATGTTTTTTATAACATAATCTTACCTTCACACATTCATTTGATGATTTGTTTATTTCAGTTTTTTCTAGGATTTTTTTCAGTTAAGTTTATTTGATGTAAAAATATTATTACGGCTTCACATGTGGCGGTTTTATACGAAATTAAGTAAAACTAGGTACCTATACTTTGTATTATTTGAATAGAAGTAGCTATTGTTCCTGACTACTTAGTTGGAAACTACCAGTCTTAAAGACAATTAACAAATGCTTTTCAATAGCATTTGAAGTAATACACTTTTGTATCTTTTTGCGCCCATATGGTGCTCTGTACTGAATAAAAATATGAAACCCTCGTGACAGGTAATTAAACGCGTTCTCGTACAGAATTAATAAAGGTGATCGCACACCGCAGCGGGCGGCGCGCGGCGGCAACGCGCGGCCGGTGTGATTGCGAGCTAATGAGCGCTCCGCTCCGACACAACGCTGGAAATTGCCTTATACATTTTTAATAGATTCGTTTAAGCCGCTTTTTTATCCACTAGCTTTTTTATCCTCAGCGCTTTAAAACTTCCAACCATCACTTCCCCCCACTTTCAAACCCCCCCACTCCTCACCACTGGGTAGAAACCACCCGCAATACGTTAATAGATTTTAAAAATTAATACTTTTACGCAATTACCAACGGGCAGACTGTCATTTTCGACGGCCCTAATGAAATAACGCTACTTCATAACTTTATTAAGAATCCTTTGATCGCTGTTGTGCTAAGTAAAAAATTGTGACGCTGAGGGAGTAATCAAAAGTGACATGATACTTATTAAGTTAGCCGAAATAACCGTGTTAAAGCGACCGGCGGCGCGACTCAAAAACTATTTTATGAATAATAGATGGCGCCGCCGGCGACCAATCCCCGGGGAGCACCGCCCACCGGCACCCGCTACCCCACCGCCCCGCGCACCCCGCGCTAACCCCGCGACACCCCCGGCCTGCCTTCTCTATTCATTAGCACATTACCACCCCTTAGGCACGCGACTCAGTTGGGGTAAGAAACTGATTTTTGCCTTTTGAGGTTTTTTCTAACCCGTTCGCCAATTCGATGAGGACTTTAAAAAGTTTTGTCTTAAGTGAAGATCGCTAAAGGTGTCTTTTGTTTTAGTCGATGTTCTGTAGGTAACTCAATCATCTTAATCTGATAATTCTACCTAATTAGCAAATGTATATACATGAGTATAGATAAAATAATAAAATGCAAAAAAAATAAAATAATTTACGTAAAGTTACTAACTAAATAGAACTTAAAAAAATCTATTCTACATTCAAATATAAAATCCAGCTTATTCCAACCACATAGCTACAAAAATCTAACAAATCTTAACAATATCGATTAAACGTTATCGAATCGAATCGAGATACATAACCGAGTTGTAAATCGGGTAACGAGACAAGAGCTTTAACTAAGAATAACGTTATTAGGCCGGGAGCCGGGCCGCTAACTCTGTTACAGAAGTTTGTGCCGATAAGTGAAATCGACGCGACTCCTCGACTATAAGGTTATGCTGCCACTTGAAACTTTAAATTTTAAGTCGATTATGGACTATAAACATGGAGTTTCGATATCGTTGTATTAATTAGTTTATGATAGAAATATTGCAGATATTTTGCTTGGTTAACTGTTATGTTTATAAATTTAAAATGTTCGATACTTTGAATGCATTTTTGCCATAGACAATTATTTGTGTTTAAGTTAAGACAGTCAAGTTCAAGATCATTTCATTTAATTGCCATATTCAAAATTGTTTTAAATCATATAATTTGAACCTGTAAACTCACCAAATTAACAATAACTAACTATATTATAACAATTATTGATATAATTGTAACAATTATTGATATAATTGCAGTTACTTCTTAATAAAAAGCTAATTGCATTTCCAGATGATATGTCATTTTTTCAATTCGATCTACAAACTTTTAAAATAATAGCTAGCTGGAACTTTTAGAATGTGTTTTTTTATTATTCAAACTTAGAACATTAATTGTCATTGTCTGATTTGTAATAAATATTTTTTGTCTATCTTTTTATTATTCATAAGCATTCTAAAATAGCGTTCTAAAGCCAAAACAATCTCTCTGTCATGTACTTACACGGATGTGAAGCAGTGAAGGGATATTCTAGGGTTGGCAGGCGATGCTGGTGCGGCGGCAAGCTGGGCGAGCAGTGGTAGCAGAACAGGCCGCGCCCGCCACCGCCACCGCTCGCCAGCTGAAACAAAGACATTCATAAATCAGTATTTAATAAATCATATATAATTTACACATATTTCTCTAAACGCCAAAATAATAAAGAAATGCAAATGGACAGGAATCATTAGGTAATAAATTTTCGTCTGTGCCTTGTAAAACAAAGTAAGACATGCTAACGTCTTAAAACTATATCACATTATATTATAACACTAAAACTTTATTGCCTACAGAATATAAAGACGTTAAGAGTATTCCATAAAACTTTGCTTCAAGATACATTAGATATGTTCATTTACCAACACCCAGTCGCTAAACCCTAATCCATATTCTAGAAGAAATAAAAGAATCAAAAATCGCCTTATAACAATAATGTTCTTGGTTTATCAATTTGAATCTAAGAGAGTAGGTAAACTTGTTACAAACTAGCGACCCGCCCCGGCTTCGCACGAGTGCAAAAACGATACTTTTTACACTAGATACTTAATTGGTGTAATAATACCTACATATAAGCATTCCTTTTCAATCACTCTATCTATTTAAAAACCGCATCAAAATCGGTTGCGTGGTTTTGAAGATTTAAGCATAAATACGTATCTACCGTACCTATCCCATAGGGATGTAGGGAAAGAGAAAGCAACTTTGTTTTATAATATGTAGTGATGACACTTAAGGAAACTCTAGCTTACCTAAATACCTACCTCTAATTAATAGAAAGCGATATAAACAGTTTCAAAAACGCCGCCAACATTCATGGTGTGACATAGCAATCAGAACGATCTAATACTATCGAGATTAACATAGAAATGACACCGCGTAATAATAAGGCGACGAATCGAATCCTTCAATGTTGTATGCGCATTGATTTTATAGTTAGGGTGCGCCTACATTGGATTGACGCGGTGATTTCGTACCCGCGATATATTTTTTATGACAGATGATAGAAAACCGTTTCTTGAGCTTTACGATTATCTATCACGTCGTAATTATTGTTTATGTAGTATGATGTTTATGTAGTATTTAGTGATGAAGTTTAAAGATTTGCAATATTTGTATTAATAACAAACAGATAACTTTTTGAATAAGTATATAAAAAATGTACTGAAATATTTATAGGGTATCCCGTTTCATCTCATATATCTAGTTTACTGCACGCTACTATTAACTTCAATACATAATATGAACTATGAAAAAGTCACATTATTAAGTAGACAAGTAACATAAAACAAAATAAAGTGTCAAAATAATATCGCATGACTTTCATGAAATGTTCACTAAAAAAAAAAACGCGCGTCTAAAAGTGTGGCCAAGCCTTTACAATTGCATATAATTGTAAAGTGAATTGAGACGGCATTCGCTTGTGATCACAGGCCGTTACTTAACCCGCGCGATTGGCCGCGGTTTGATTGTGTATTAAGTATGAATTGTGTCAGATGAACAGGTGATTATGGAATGTTAATCGCGCGGTATTTCGCACGTGTGAATGTACGTTGAGGTGCGGTTCGCTAAAGCTGTCATTATGTAATGATCTAGTTCGAATATAGTGAATGCGGTTATGGGTTTATTTAATTGTGATGATATTCTGAGGATGTGAAAGTTTGTAAGTTACATGAAGGCATTATTACTATAGGTAATGTGTCATATAAACTTTTTTTTTAAGTTTAGATAATAAACTTTTATGTTGCTTTTTACATAAACTTTTGCTATTTCTCAAATAATTCAATATGGAGCGAACTGAGTGCCTATAGTATCATATGGAAAAAAATATTTCAGCATTAACCTAGCAAGCTGAAATGTTATGTGAGTTAATGCTTAAATATTTTTTGGGAAGTATTTTTCGCACATGAAACTAGTAGAGGTTTTCTCAATTGATTCACATGAGTAAGACGTTATTTTGAATTAAATTTATATCACTCAGGTTAACCTACCTAAGGTGGTGTACAACGAAAATGTTGAACTAACACACTGTCCTCGCATACATACCAGACAGACAGTGATAACCTATTTGAAATTAAGTCAAAATATATTTATGTTATATCAATAGGCACTTATGGAATCTAAAAACAGTACATTATATTATTCCTTTAGTGAAACTGTTAACTCGTTCCAAGAAGTAGTCAGAAAGTTCCTACAATAATAAACGAGCAATAACGAAGTACGTGATCAAAATTAAGAGTTATAATAACTTATAGGTTTATCACAATAATACAAGTATCTAAACTATATAAGAATGTAGTACAAACTCAATTTTCCCTAATGAAATATGACAGAGAGCAATCTGTCTCCAGTTGAGGCAGTTATAAGTAATAGCTTGCGTCAGAACCACATCGATCACAGAGTAAATTCGAATATAGAACATTAGAAACACATCTATCATCTTGTCCGGAGCGTTTAAATAAAATTTTGTGGTCTAAAAATGTTAAAGGGAATTTATGTGTGAGAGTAGTGTGGCAGAGCCATGCTTCGGCGAGAATGGGTCATCTCGGCCGGAGTGATACCACGGTCTCACAGAAAACCGGTGTGAAACAACCAACAGCGTTGTGTTTCACCGTGTGAGGTTACCGGAGGCCCAATCTGTCCTCATTTCCGAAATCTAATTTTCTTTATAATTACTAATTATTTTGTTGTTACAACTCCATGGTGTCATATTTACGCAGATGAGCAACTTTGGCGCACATTAAAATTTTCTCGTGTCCTGATTTGTAAACATAAATATATAAATTCTCATTCAAAAATAATTGTGTAGGTACATACTAATATAATAAGTTTAGGCTGAATGGATTTTTATACAAACTTTCAATTAAAAAATCATGGAAAACTGCGAATGTGATTTTAACAAAACCAAGTAAAACTCATACGCAATAAGTTTAAGAACTTAATCAAGCAATTACTTTTTCGTAACGTTGTTAAGTTCAGTTACTAAATATGTCTTCACTTGTATTGTCTGTAGTTATTCACGATTTTGTGAAATGAAAATACCCAAAGCAACCAATTAATTAATAAGCTTATTTCAAATAAGATATCGGCAACTAATAATCTAGTTTAAATTTGAAATGTCACGGTGTAAACAAGTTCGTTAAGCGTCAGTACGCGAGCAGAGCGCACTGTGTGACAAAAGTAAGGACGTGCTGGTCATAAATCAATTAATTTCGATGAATAAATTGCTAGATTGCAGTGCAGCGTGCGACATTCCTACCACTGTGCAGTGCAGGTTCAAATGCGTCATCGGATGTAAAGGTGATATAGATTTATTTGTTTGGAAAGAACAATCAAATACAACAATTTAAGTAATAGGTAAACATACATAAACAATTGCAGACGAATTGAAAACCTCCTCCTTTTATTGAAGCCTTAAAAATAACACAGAATTACACCTTCAGTTAATAGACTCATGACAACAGAAATATAAATATAATCAACGCAAATAAGCATCCACTACATAATAATAATCATCTGTTCACAACATCTTTTGATCTTAAATTCGTATGTAGTAGAGTCGTAGGTAGAGGTGCACTAACTGTGATCTATATTATATTAAATATTCTTTTGTTATAGGTACCTAATGTGTATTATTGTGTTTATTGCCTTTTACAATGAATCACCTTTTTAATAAATACGGTAGTTTCCATATCCTAATATCATCAAATAAGTACAATATTTTTTTCCTACATATAAACGAAAAGAAAATTAAATGTTTCGGTAAAACTTGTTGTGTGTGTACTATGTTTTTTTTTTATTTAATTGTATTAACACGTCGAAGTAGTTTATTATTGCCTAAAGAAACTACCCAACTGTATGGTAACAAAGTGTTCCTAATAAAAAGGGGAAGCAGTCAGATAGCTCATATGACATCATTTTAATACAGTTATTGAATATTAACTGTTTTCGGTACTACTACTAGGACGAAAGACAATTGACATATCGAATATTTTTAAATTTGTAAAAATAATATTACCTTAGAAAAAATTAGCATTTATATCTTGACATTAATTTATTATTCTTGAGTATAATAATATATAAATCGAAAATAATTTCACTTCACTTATAAATACGAAATTGTTTTCAAAATTGGCATAATTAATCAAAATTAAACACTGTAATGATAGAGATTATTATACTTTTTTACAGATTTAAGATATCCGTATTAATTCTCACTAGAATAACTATATTTGCAAAGGAAAATGGCAATGAAATTCAATTGCACATATTATAACTAGAGACCCACGTGTAGACGAGCCGTCGGTATAAATGACATTAATGGAGCAATGAATCGACTAAACGATGCGCGGGCGCATTCGATGCTGCGACTGACGTCAGCACACAGTGGTCCCATCTGTAATATCTTTGGAAAAAACATTTTAAACTTAGAAAAAAAAGAATGTTTATTTCAAATTATCAAAATAATTTTCGTTTAAAATAATATTTACTTAAATAAAATGCGAAAAGGTAAAATGTGTTAAGCAATTTTATTAACCTATTATCCTTAAATATATTAATATTTGATTACTTAAATTTTGATAACAGCTCAACTATCAAAGTTAAACAACATAAGGTTAACGTGAACCCATTACCTACGTAATAATGTTATAACTAATTCTGTTAACACTTAAATTCGTAGAAAACCGTACCTACGTTCACTTTTAATAGATTAAATGAAGTTTCAGCGATAATCTGGGTCGGATTATAAAACGTCAGACAACCAATCTACTTAACGGTTACACCTTTTCATTAGAGACGGCTCTTGATGGATATGAGGCTTGTAAATAACAGTCGTGGTGGCCCGGAGGTTAAGGAGCCCGCTTCTCATGCACGAGGGTGTGGGTTCGAAACCTGGCAAGTACCAATGTGACTTTTTCCGAGTCATATGTACTTTCTATGATTATTTAGACACCACTGACATATGGTGAAGGTAAACATCGTGAGGAAACCTGGACTTATAATTTCTAATTATAAGTTTGAAATCGCCAACCCGCATTGAGCAAGCATGGTGATTAATGCTCAAAACCTTCTCCGTATGAGAAGAGGCCTTTGCTCAGCAGTGGGCACTTATAGGCTGATGATGTATGTATGTATGTATGTAAATAACAATCCGTTATAAAATAGGTAAACATATTTTTAAACCACGTGTTTCAGTTTTTTATTTAAATTGACTCAGTCTAATAAATATTTAACTATGGGTGAGCTTAATATAAAGCTTAGTTTATCTTTACCTGTCAAATTGCTAATTACTTTTTTTATCAAATAGAAATTATGTCACGCTTTAGAATTTCTACTGTATCGTGTATCAGCTATCTCCTCCATTGTCCCAGTACTATTTATTAATAATTAAAACTTACTAGAAAGTTCTGAAGGATATTTTTGTGTATCCTTAAATGATGATGAATGAAATCTTCTATTTCTTTTTAAGTTTAACCTCAAAAATTCAATAACATTTATTTACTGAATCTTATTCGTAAACATAGGATTCTAATTTTAATTGAAATAAATGTTATTTTCTGTTTTGTCCACAGTTAACGTTGTATCGCCCCGCAGTGCAAGTGCGTGTATTGGCTCGTCCTGTCTGCGCGCGTGGGGTCCTGATACACTAATCCTATTTATATTGTCGTGTCATTACCGCATTACACCCACCGGCCGCCGCATCCGCGCTGCAATCTAACCTTCATAATGATATTATTTTGCAATGTTATTATTTCATTGCAAAAAAAAACAATCACATATCCAATTACCTAGTAATTGATGACTAGTTCGAAGAAAGGTTTTAATAAGTATTTTAGAATACTTTCCTAACAGACATGATACAAAAAATAATTAGGTACAAAACTTTTTTTATTAACTATATTTTGCTACTTAAATATAATTTTCCGCAAAACAAGAGGATCCCTTATTTCCTATTATTAGACCACTACTTTCCATTAAATATTTTTACCGTTACCAAATACAGACTTTTTAAGGTTTACTTTTGTAATACTAATTAAATTTCATTTTTTTTACAATAGCAACATGTAAAGAGAACAATAATTCATTTGAATTTGGAACTGAACAAAACGTTGGTTGCATGTTTGCAGCAATGCCCGACAATCTCAGATTTGTCGCCTAGGTCAGAGTAAACTGACTATATCCGGAATTCTCAATGGCCGCATTAATAAGAAAACTGCTCGTTGAGATTTATAAACGGAGCATTATTTAATAATAGCCTCTGATAGACTGAATATCCTACTTCCAGTCGTTTTTTTTATTCTCTTTGATCTTCACACAGCCAAAATCACATACAGCCACTTACGTCATTAAAAAGAATGAAATTTAAACAAAACCAGAGGAATTAGCATTCGAATTTCAAAGGATTGTTTTCTTTTTTTCTGTATGGCACAAGCACTTCATTTCGCATTCCCATCTTGTCGAGGTGAGATTATCGTCACTCGTACAACACGGGAGGAGTGAAGAGGGCCGCTCGCCCATTGTGAGTTACCGCCAAATGTGGGAACTGATGATTTATCTCGTAAACCTTTTCATGTTTATTATATTAAGAGCTTATTTTGAATTCACGGAATGGATAATAGAGGGCCCTGATATTGTTGATGTTTTCATCAGAGGTTTGAGTTGATGAGTGTGAAAAGGCCTTGTTTTACCGCAGAGGATATAATTGTAATATGTATACATACATACATGTTACTTACATACATAAAACTATGTATTTTTTTAGTCTGATTGTTAGTTTTACAGGCGATCTAAATGTAATCCTTTTTTGAGGGGGAAATCAATTGACTTTTCTTGCCCTGGCTCACCCTGCAACACATTAGCCCTGTTGGGCCCCATTTGTGGTGGTCTATTAGCTCTTTGAGGAGCACGCAGTACGCAATGCGCCGAACCCTTAGGTCTGGTTCCGGTCGTGCGGTGTGTTATCCTCCCTCACCGTACACCGTCCCGCGCTTACAGTTACAATTCCCGTAGTCCGAAATGTCTCCCACTGCGATAGCTAGGGCGTGAGGAGGATAGTTCCATCACGCACTTCGCCTCCTTCTCTGCAATCAGGACACGCTTGGAAGAAAGAGGACACAGCTTCCCAGTTTCTTTAGATCCGCACCATGGCTTCGACTAAACCCGGTAGCGAGAGATTGCCGCCGAACTTATCATGCAATAGCTTACAATACTAGCAAAGTTCTTATCCATAATATACTTAAGTGATAGTGATTTATTTCATCAATACATCTGAGGACTATAAATGTATGTGCATGGTTAAGCCGTCCCGTATTTCAACTTCACCTTCCAACTAAGTAATAAGGTATCATTTTAAAAGTAGCGAACACGTTCATCGTTCCAAAGCAAACATGTACTCAGTTCAATATCGTGTGCAAACACAATTTACTCTGAAATCGTATTTGTACCGTTTAATTTGGTATCGAGTACGATTTAATCAATTAATCGACTCAAATCGAGTAATTAAGTATCGGTAAACCCTTAGCTGTTAATGTATTAATTAGTCTTTGGTGAATTGTATTTATTTTCGTATAATTTAAAGGGGAAATTGAGGGCTCGCGATCTTTGTTTGTTTTTTGAGTTGGTATTTTAATATTAATGTTAAAATTTCTGTGCAGTTATGAATGTACAATTCAATTAATTCACGTAGCACATGTATTTATATCGGAAGAAATATTGTATGGGTTGACATAATGCATGCCATAACATACCTACATGTTGACATAAATCTTTAAAACAGCGCAACGGATTTCATTCGGTCTTTTTAATAGACAGTGTGATTTAGAGGTAATTTTATATGCATAATAACATCCATCAAATGGTGGAAAAATCACTATCAGCAATGCATCCGTGCAAAGCGGGGGCAGGTCGCTAGTATTGTATAATTCAAACTTTATACTTATATCTTCGACTATCAACAAGCAACCGACTATCCCTGTTAAAGTTAAAAAAAATACCTGAATGTAATATTGATGTCACTAAGTGCTGAATTGTACGTTATAAAATGTTAATTAGTGAAAATTTTAGTGAATTGAAATCGCGATGCCAGTCGAAGTACTCTTTATTGAATTTCAGTGAAATTCATCCGCGCACAGGGCTGCCACCACTTGTAATTTTAATAATCTTTATGTTTGTTTAAAGTGCAACTTTGACTCTTTGATAATTTTGGAGACAGGCAGAACAGTACCCCATATCATTGTTGTATACATATGTATGTGATCATGTTATTTATGTACCGATCTCAAAATAAAAATCGTTACTTTCAAAACTGGTAAATGATATTCCATATCCAAGACTAAAACTTACTAGGGAAAAAAATAAATATCAATTCAATATTAATAAATAACGGAAAGAACTTTGTTAAAATTGACTACCTATATTTAAAAAAAAACACAACAAACAAACATTAACAATAACAAATGGAAAATAAAAATAAAAATTCAATTCAATTGAAACAAATTATTTTACGATTCAAACCCGCTCGGCACTAACTCGCTATCAATAATATTTAATCACTATGCCTCTGGCTCGATCATTTGATATCAAACTTTTACCAATTGTAACTGAGATCAATTGAACAGTTTAAATTAACTATTAATAGCGGCCAATGGTTCAATCGGGGCGCGACAATCGAATCGATATACTTAAGTAAAAAATAATAATTCTTTTGTGCTGTTTGGGAACGGATTTGTAAAGACTGGATTTTTTGCTAAGCAAGCATGTTTGGATAAAGGCCTAATGAAGCCGCTAACTGCAGGTCACTTCTAACTACCCAGTTGAGAGGTCAATGGGAGAAGTCAGCGGTTGAGGTTTTTAGCTGGTATGATGTTGATGATGGTTCTTGAATGGTGAAAATTTAAAAAGAGCCTCTCGCCTCTTACGCTTTCCACGACAGTTGTGATTATAACATAAGGAAAAACAAATTAGTTATCTCAAGACTTTTCACTTACTTATATAAATAGCAACACGCCCCGGCTGGCACTACACTAAATTTGTCCACAATTAAATGGATGTTATTATACACATAAACTTACCTCTTCAATTACTCTACCTATTAAAAATCAGCATAAATCTGTGGCATCGTTTTAAAGACTTAAGCATACATAGGGATATAGGGGCAGAGAAAGCGACTTTGTTTTATACTGTGAAGCGATTATATCTTGGTACCCTAAAAAGTGTTTGGAAAATGTTAATTTGTGACGGGGTCAGCCCTACGCTCGCTGTCAGTCATCATTTGCGTAACCGGGTCTATCTAGCCGGTAATCGGTTTAATATGATACACTCTCGCGTCTACAACACAATATCTGATTCAATTTTTTCGTTACACTTAAAATAATTACCGAATTGGTCTTTTGATTAGATGTGGGACTGGGCTATTGAAAAGGTTTTATGATTTTTAGATTAGACAAAATATGTACCGCAGCCCCAGCCAGGTTTTTAGTCAGTAAGAGTCTGAGAGTCTCCCTCGCCTTACTCTAGGCGGAAGGAGTCATTTGATGATTTTCTCCTAACAAAAAAAAAAGCCCCGGCCTAGAGCAGAATGGAGTAGCAGTCAGTGAGTAGAGAGAGCAGAGTCCGATATTTCCTCTTGCCTCACTTAATTCGAAAGAAGTCATTAATTGATGAGTCTCGCCGTTCAAGACTTTACCAATGCTGCTTAGCGTCTAAAATTTCTTTGTAGATAACAAAGTTTTTGTCAAAGATTCCATGACTGACTTAATTTGTAGCCAGGATCAGATCAATGAGCTGCAATGGTAAGTGTTTTTTTTTTTTTTGAGTGGGTGAATCATTAGATTACTACTGGAGAGGGAGTGTCAGACTCTTACTGACAAAGGACCACCTTGTTTCTTTTCCTGCACCTGGCTCGAGCTGTGCAGTACATTATTGAGCTTGCAAGCGCAACTCTGGCTGGACATCGGTCTTAGTGTGCCCCTTTGGTGATGTGATAACCAATACCTCTTTAAGCGTGCGTAACGTGTCGTGGCGCTAGGGTCCGGTTCTGGTCGGGCGGCGAGCTAGTCTTGCCCATCACCTCGACCAAATGTATGGGCGCTCACCATACTAGCGTAACCACTAAATGCCTGAGAACCGTGGTAACTTTGTAGTAGATTGTCGCGGATCGTTGATGATATACGGACTCAGATCAACAAAGCCTTAAAACTAGAATACCTAAGAAAACAAACTGCATTTAGTAAGAATAATTCGCCGAGCTGTGGTACCCTTTGGCCGAGCAATTACGTGCAATTATCGGGAGGACGAAGCGTCGCGACTCAATTGGCGTCGATACTGTATATCGAATAAAAGCAGCTTATTGCTTGTTCGTTTGTTTTTTTTTCGGTTGTCGACCCTTTCGTTGGGTAAGCTTGTCTTTTACTATTTTGTTACTGATCTAACAAGGGCGATGTGGATATTGCAAAAATTATTTGCACGTCCTTAAACAATAAAAATATTTTTTTACGGCACGATTCTCAAATCCTTTTATTTGAAACTCTTCAAAGCTTTTCTGCGCGGAAAAAACAAGACAAAAAGTTTATTTTATGAGTTACCTATTTTATTGTTTTGTTAATTTGATTAACTTACTCGACCGATTTTGTACAAACTTCACATAAACCATCTACTAAATAGTCCAAACAAATCACGTTCTTAAGTCACAAAATCGAAATGTGGCATTCGTTTTATACAATATTATATATTCTTTGGCAAATGGACAAGAATAGTAACACAATAAAATGCAATGTACGCTAATGTAGTATTCTACATCCTAAACTCAAACATTCCGCACCAAATGGCATTTCAGCGAAATCAAAACACGGAACTATGTACAAAGTTTAAAACAGGCCAAAACTAAGTTTCCGAAAATCCTAAAACAGAATCCAGTTAAGCAATCCGACTAACATTTAATCTGTAAATCTGAAAATTGTGTGGATACTAATGATGGTTAACTGTTCGAATCGATAAAGCGATCGGTCGGTCGTCGGGCACTCAATCCAATTACGACTCATTATGGCCCATTAAAGAGCTCAGCTAACTGATATATTTGTTCATTACTGTGTCGATACGTGCTATGATATTGGTACATACATATCTGTGTGTCTTTTTAACGTTTTTGCCAGCAGTGTATCAGTAATTGATCTCCATTTAGTGAATAATCAAAATGATACTCGAAATTTTAACATCTCGTAGCACTTTCGTAGGCGTCTCGTAGCGCATTGGCTACGAAAAATTTTGATAGTTTAGCGTGAAGCGGTATTTGATTTCAAATAGATTCTTTTCTTAAGTGATCTTAGACCTTATTTGCTTGACGTAGTCTGCGTTATATTACATTTTATGTTTACTTTATATATATAAAGGCTAAGATGAAATAAAACAGCATCCATACCGATGTTCTTTTCTGTAAAAAGTCCTAAAACTAGGTCACGCTCGACAGCAATTGGCGACAAATACAAATCAAGAATCTTTAATACACAACCTCTATGACGTTCGTAACATCTGCATTTAATAAACAGTTTGCAAAGGCTGTCACATGACATGACGTTTCAATTATAAATTTCCACATATATACAAAGTACGTGGATATATATATGTCGCATAGCGCCACTATAATTGTTCTGGGCGCCGTCCACGATTGCATATCAATAGAATGCCTGTATTTGTTGGTAATTGAGCTTATTGCTCGGCTGAAGCGTTATTGGTCTTTATTGTGTTAGCAGGCTACTGATTGAGAGGAGCGCCTTGCAGTGTGACGTTGGTTGTGTATCAATTGATTTAATATTATCTTTGTGTGTTACTGGTTGAATATGATTTCAGGATTGTTGCTTTGGAGTTAAACAAGCTAAAAGAGTTATAAGTGCATCCGACCTTTTAAGAAGAAGTTATTTTCTTGAAGGTTTATTACGCTTAAATTTTCTTGTAATTACAGAAATATTTGCAGGGAGTCTCTGGATGCATGTCGCTACTGGCTTATTTAGAATGCTATTGTTCAATAGTGGTTGTTTGTTTTGTGGATGATGGGAAGATGGTGATTTTTCTAAAACGTTATAATGTCTAACTAGAATGTATTACTTCAATTGTACTTATAATTCAACTTTAATGACGTATTAATTAGTTGCAATCTCCTAAAATATAATAATGGATGCTGTTTTTTTTTAATACTGATTTAAAAATAAAATTATATACTCCTGACTTAAAAATAAAGTACAATATTATCCAAGTTTGACTGAAAACTGATTTAACGTGTTAAATAATAAATGGGTATATATGCTTTTGTATGATTTTTATGCATCAATAATTTTATTGGAAACTGTTTTTTGTATAAAATGAAATATTATCCACACAGATTTAATAATAATATTTTATTATTAAAAATAATGGCTTAAGTATGTACTAAGGTTAATTACTTAGGAAAAGATATACTTAATTCAAGTCATAAAGGGACTCTTCTTCATTGTATCTTGTTAAATTTAATATAAAAAAGTATATCACATGGTAGTTAATATTTTTCGGAAATATCGCCAACTTATTGTGCAGCTAATCGGCCATTTATAGCTGTAATAATATTTTTTGTAAATTTCCCGGCAACATTTTGAAGAGAAACATATTTAATGTAATAGCAAAGTAAGCAAAAAATAATAAATAATGCTTTATAATTTTAATTATATTTGCACATTTGTTATTAAATATAAACTATTTTAATTATCAACCAAAATTACTCGTACAGAATTTTCGCAGAAAATGGTCAGACATGTTTTTTATCACGGAGCCTCGGACGCGTATACGCTTTCAAAGTGGATAAAGCGGGTTTTACGGGTCCCGGCTGAATTCAGCAGCTTCTTCTTAATACTTCTTAGTAGATCTGATTCTAGCAGCCTGTTCTAGCTTCGTCCAGGTGATATTTAGTGATTATATTTAATGTTAATATATTTTAGTTAATGTTAATACTAATATTATAAAGAGGTATTTTTTTAAGTTTGTATGTAGGATGCATAAAGTTTGTATGACAATCTAGACGCCTATCGTTGAGACTGGTGGACACGGTCAAAAAATCGGGAGGTGTGAAAGCCTTTGCCCAGCATTGGAACATAATAGGCTAGTATAATGGTATAATAATGTAGGTAACAAACTTTGGAACCGCTGATCCGATTTTCAAAATTCTTTCACTGATAGATAGCCACACTGTTCCTGATTGTTATAGGCTATAAAACATTACGCTGAGATCTGTAAAAGCCGAGCAGCGGGTGAAACAAACGAACGAAACTAACTAGTCTGTAATATAAAAATAATTGCAAAATGTGTTGGTAAACGCTTAAGGCAACCACGCCTGGACCGTATCTTCGTTGTATTTTATTGACCGGTGGAGGTTCTTTTCAGATAAAATTTTGGAAAAGCAGAGAGGAAGTCTAGGAAACAGAGACTTTTTCATCGTTAGCAATGTTGTTAGTAACCCGTGCGAAACAGGGGTGGGCCACTAGTTTATTATGAAAAGGATTTCTACTGGTAATAAAGAACACAATAAAAGAAGTAGATATTAGGTTTAGAAGAAGTATAAATATAATTTTAGGTTATCACCCTCACATTTTGTGCGTAGGGAAATATTTTGGGATTTATTATAAGGTTAAAAAAAATGCGAATTTTCGCAAGAAAAATCTTTATCGTGTACAAAGATTTATAACAAATTAGCAATTATTAAAAACGTAAAAAAACTATTTTATTTATTAGAAAATTAAAAATAACTATTTTATCCATTAGGAAATTATTAAAAAGTTAAAATAAACTATTTTCTATTTTTGAACTCAATTAATAAACAAGTTTAATTTTGTTTAATTTTTAAATACGGTCTCTATTCGGATCAGTAATATTCACTTCAAATGCTTAAAGACATTATACTTTTCCCAAATGATATCAAACGCAAGATTGTATATGTTTACGTAATACGATTAAAATCAAGAACTTTAAATTTCGATTAAACAAATCTTTTTAACATCATATCGTCATTTGCAAGAGATGTATGTGATCTTCACTTAATAATATAAAGCTAAACACTTTGTTAGTTTGTTTGTTTGCTTGAGCGCGCTAATCTTCGGAACTACTAACTTATATTGAATAGATCTTTATATTTAAGATTAGTTATTAATTAAGGAAGGCTCTATATAACATTTAAAGCTACAAATAAAAGCAGCGTAGCTAAATGGCCTGAAAACACTAAAATTAATAAACTTTAATGATCATAAATTATAAGAACGATTTAAAATTCATGCTTATTTAAATCTTTGTTAAAAAGTTTTTCAGAACTTGATGGCGCACTAAGCCTAGTCATTATGTAGATATATAATATAACCGTTAGTTATTGACTCTACATACTTTACATATGAAATAAAGTCTTTAGAAATAACTTTAAACACAGTTTTAAATAATAATACCTGAACGTCTTCGCGATCTTTGAAAAAAAATCATTTTCAGAGAAATTATTTTTACAAAATGGTATGAAACGTTGCTGAAAATTTTAAATAAATAAATATAAAATGGTGCTTGCGTAATGGTGTCCAATAGGAGTAACCAACAGATAATTTCGCCTACCATTTTTTTACAGCAGCGACAACATAATTTATAGACTATAAGAAATTCATAAAAAATACTGAATTTATTATGATTAATGAGAATTAATTTTCTAAAATAAAATCTCCGTAAACGCGAAAATTTTCATCGACGGCTAAAAAGTTTGAAAACTAAAATCAAAGTTCCATAACAATCACAAAATCAAATATAAGTATAAATTACCTTATTAGCGTCCGAAAATATTTTGTCAAATTGTGGGCGGGAACTTTTCCCGCCTAACTCCGCGTGCGAAAATGCGCGGTCACCGCGCTGACACTGTCATAACGTTCCGTCACACGCACGAGCACTCGCGAGCCGCTTGTCGCCGCGACTGGCACCGCACTCGCCGCGAACACACAACTGCAAGTAATCGCTCTGAAACCGCCCTCGGCAAACAAAACCCCACCCGCCGTAAAGAGCATTTTAGCACGCGCGCCTCCCCGCTCCCGCGCCCTGATTTAATAGCGAGCGCGGGCACTGATTCATTTAACCGAACGCAACTACCGACTGCCTCTCTCTCGCTCCCGCTCAAACAGTAACCCACTACACGTCCTCTCTCCTCTTCGCACACGCTCGGCTACTCAGCGCAGGAAAGAGATGGTGCCGCGGTCGCGGACACTTCTTTCTTCCAACTCGATTTGCATGCGAGCGGGGGTCGCTCCGCAAACTTTATGTCCTCGTTTCGTAAATTATTTATACGTTTGGAAATACTTTTAACGGCATGCTCGGCTGCTGAAAAAGATTGCTTTAAAACGAGCAGAATTAAGTGAGTGACCGGTGCCGGTGTTACGGCGGGACGCGGCCACGCTAATCACTTTAATCTTGTTCACTCAAACGCTCATCACATCACTTTTGTTATTTTTCATTATAAAATTGTCGAGCTGGACTTTCAGTGCTTTTGTAAATATAAAGTTTAAATGCTATTTAATATAACTTATAGAAACGCTTCAATCACAAGATTGATTTTTGTTTCCATCACTGCGTAGATATTATTTCAGTGATTGAAAACTTTTAAAGAAAGAAAAGCTTTCAAATATTTTAAATTTAATTAATTTTACAAAACTGTGCATTTTTTTTACAAATACTCAGAATCTCTAATCCAGATATTTTCATTTCATAATTAACACAAAATTAGACTCACTAGATTCGATAAACCATTCAGTAAGAAGACTTTTACTTCTGTAGATATTAATTTATAAATACATACTTAATTGGTTATCAAACTTCAAAAATCGAGACCATATCGATTAATTTAACGAATACCTAAATAAAATAGACATGTACACTTTTACAGTTCACTAATGAGTGCAGAATCAATTCCGTCGAAACATAACTTCAGAATAACTAGTGTAAATAGTTTTCGACTCAACCACTTGGAAAGTTCAGAAATAAAGCCTGTAATTTATCTATCAGGGTTGTTAGTTAACTATAGTTAGGAGAATTCCGAGCACAGCTAAGCTATCCAATTAGTTGTCATTGTGTTATCTGTGGCTAAACTAACTTCTAATGCTGTCCGTGACCCCTTTACTAAATTCTCGGATCGGTTGGTGCTCGGTTACAGGGCCTTACCATTGGTCAATTCAAAAAAGGAATTCATTCTTACTATTTTTTTTTATAATCTAGCATTTTAGAGGCCAGGATTATCATCACCTTCCTCATTTATCAATATCTTTTTTTAGACGTTAAATCATGGAAAAAAAACTATTTACTGAGAAAAATATTGCGTAGGTATCTATGGCGTAATTCTTTTGTTTAAATGTTGGAATTACCTAATCATGTTTATGGTGATTATAAAATTGTTAATGTAGGTAATAAAGTTGAAAGAATGCTTGAGTCTTTATCTAAGTTAGACTTATACTATTAAACTAAGCTCTAGTTCCTTCTTGAGGGTTACATTAAGTTTGTATGATATATTGACCAGGGAGGAAGACAACGAAGACATTTTTAGAAATAAAAACCTCGCTAATGTTTTGGAGTCTTTTATAACGATGTTTTGTTACACTAGCCTTTCTAGATTTTCCAAAAGAACGCCATGTGCATGTAGTTCCAGTGTTGCATAAACGACGCTGATTGCTTACCATCAAGATAAGTGATCTATACATAAAAAATACTAAAGCCTTAAAGTACTAACGCTTAGCCAGACATCCGTCAATGAACTTATCAATAACTCTCTAGCGATCTCCAAGTGTGACAGAATTCTGAAACATCACACAAATAGGACTACGTAAAAATTACTACTCTCTTTAAATGTCTGAAAAGAATCGACGTTAAATAAGTCATTTTATAAGAGCTGCAAGAATATCCGAATCGTGAGTTTACTTCGAAAACTATTAGTAACGACTGTTTTCCTGTAATTGGTATAACATCTAATTTACTCATTTACACCGATATTCGTTACGGACAAACACAATTATTTTCATTTCTAATACGAACAAGTAACAACGTTGATTTCTTTCATAAAATAAATAAACGCTCTACTACCATCTCAGACGTTTAATGCTCTTAAAGAAAACCGACAAAAGTTTGTAAAGAAATAATAAAACAACAATATTATTATCAAATATTCTCGGACGATCCGAAATAAACATCTTAATACTTTATAAGCAATCGTTTCTGCGTCTGATTCTTTAATCAGAGCTCTGATTTAAAATTTACTTGTCTTGTATACTCCTGCGCAATTTTAATTGTGCAGACACAATAATAAAAGCCACACAATTTTCGTCCTTATACGCCAAAGAATAGTTGGGAAGATTGGTCGCGTGAAGATTTGAGCGGTAAACAAATCTTAGGCGAGGTGTAAGTGACAATAAAATGGGAGCTTAGCTCTCGGGGCCGTCTTCAAGTTGAACGGCGGGAGGGGGTGAAGCGGGCGCGGCGCGGGGCGCCGGGGAGGAGCGACTGGTGCCGTCTCGCTCTGGCCGCGAGTCGCGTTCATCCGTTTTATCTGTTGTTTGTCCGCGGCGCCTTCCCAGTTCGCTACATAATTTATTTTGAGCGGGTACATTTAAAAAATTGCCTGAGCCGCGTACGAGTTTAGGCGGCGAAATGGAGTTTGCTGGGGTGGGTGGTGTTACCAAATGAAAATAATATGGTAAATGATTTCATTTGAATTGGCGTTTTGGCGTAATCGGGCGGGACAAGTAATGGGCCGTAGAGAGTCCCGGTCCATTGTCCGGGCTGGCTTCATTTACTCTGTGAATTTATTTTGCAAGGTTTCTTGCGCCACTTGGCTTTTATCGTCGTTTATGTCGGCCCCATACATATTCAGTGTCTCAGTATCCTGTCTGGTGGATGAAAACTATTTTCGTTTGACACCCTCGCCCTCAGCTTTTTATTGGTTTGCTGTGATTTACAGACTTTGTTTTATTGTTTGTTTTTAGTACAACAATTTTTTTCTTATGTAGGTACCTAGGAAAAAACCTTCTGCTGAAAACAGGACCGTTACATAAGAATGTTCCATTCATCCTAGCTATCTATGTTATGTAATCAAAACACTAGGCATAGTGTACTTTATAAACCACCGCGGCCTCGGCCTAGAGCAGCAGGAGTTAAGGGGGGTTTTAGTCAGTAAGAGTCTGACACTTCCTCTCGCCTCACCCTGGGCGGGAGAAGTCATTCGGTCAGATTTCGAGTGTACTTACATCAAACCACTAAAGAATACTTACCTACCGAACGAATAGCTACTGATTGTTATTGTGGTCTCTACTTATGCGCGTAAGAGTCAATAGACCATCACAGGTAGGAACCAAAAAGGCTGACGTTGAACCGGCGTTACGGGGCAAGAGCAGCATGGAGCAGGAGAAGGAATGGAGAGGTATTTAATTAGTCGCATTATCCTAAGCGAAAGAAGTCATTTTTGATGATTTCCCTCCCCCCCCCCCCCACAAAAACAACTATGTGACATGTAACAATGCTTTTACTATGGTTCGTCTAAGGAATTCTCCCGTCCTGAACTACCTGCACATACGGCGCGCGTAGTGGCTGGGTAAACGGTTGCTTTACAACCTGTCGATGATTCGATAACCCGAACAAAAAAATGTTTCTAGTTCAGTTCACACCCACGATACAGAAAAATTAAAGTATTGAGCCAAGAATACAAAAGATTTGGTCGTAAACTTAGAACTCCTGGATCAGAGGTTTTCAAGGTACCAAGCATTAATAATTTACCTACTATGAATAACTTTTACTGTTCTTCAAATACATATTTTCGCTACGAGCAGTCTGGATTTTTTCCCACTATAAGTATAGCGGAAGGATCACTTCATAATACATGGGGTCATTGGTGAAAACTATTTATTTATTTATGATGGACTTAAGTCTTTAGGCGTTCTCTACCAGTCTACGTTAGTTAGGTGTACCACTATTGACGGAACTATCCTCCTCGCGCCCCAGCCGCCGCAGTAGGCGACATTCCGGGCGTCGGGGATCGAGAGATGATCTCCGGCCACTGTAAGCGCGGGTCTGCGGTCGGCGAGTAGGTAAGGGTAGCTGGCCGCCCAATCAGAACCAGACCCGAGCGTACGGCGCGTAGCGTTCCGCGCGTGCCTCAAAGAGCCAATAGACTACTACAGTCGGGACCCAATAGGGCTGATGTTCAGCCGGGGTTGCGGGTTAAGCGCAATGAGACACCGCGACCTCGGCCCAGAGCAGGAGAGGGAACGGGGAGGTTTTTAGTCAGTGAGAGTCATACACTCTCTCTCGCCTAACCCTGGGCGGGAGAAGTCATTTGATGATTTTCCCCTGACAAAAAAAAGGTGTACCACTATTGGATATTTACTACAAAAACAACACATGCATGTACAATTATTACTTTTACATAACTATAAATATTATATGTATACACTTATACATAACATAGATGTATGTACTATATACAGTGGCGTTAGTAGTAGTATGTAGTAATCATTATTTTTGTAGTTAGCATCTGTAGTTCTGTTAGACTTGGGTCAAAAGATAAATGCAGTAAATGCATTCTATCAAAATCAAACGCATAACCATAAATTAAATCTCAATTAAATAATTTTCATACTTTAAAGTGTTTCCATTTCAGAAAACATAAAAATATACGACTTGAGTTTTCGTTTGTACATAATAATTCCTTTCTCTGACGCCCTAGCCGTTTTTAGTTTGAATTGGTCGTGTTACCTTTAGGATATTGTGTTTTATATTTTTTATGTAGGTATTTTTCTTACATAATGTTTGAATTATAAATTTAGTCTAAAAATAAATAAAACAAAAATAATTAAAATGAATGTAATCAGAATCACAGTGGAAACACAAAGCGATTATTTCCCGTTTTTCTTCATCTTGCTCGTAGCCGTAGTAGTGCTACGCCGATAGTCTACGCCGCTACGCACGAAATGAGTACAAAACTGCGCTCGATTTAAATAGATATTGCTACAAATTTTTTTGCCAAAGAGATAATATTAAATAGTACTGTTAAATTAAATGTTACTATTTGCTTAGGTACGTATTTCTCAATGTATTGCCTATTTTTCATTTGTCATATAATCATCATCTTCCTGCCCTTGTCCCGTTTTATTTGGGGTCGGCGCAATATGTTTTTTTCTTCCATTCTGTCCTGTCACCCGTCACGCTATCACTGACTCCTCTTTCTTCTATATCACTTCTCACACAATCCATCTATATTTTCTTTGGTCTCCCTCTCCCTCTCCCTCTCCTATCTACATTTATACTCATTCATTTGTCATATAATATGATGTTATTTTGTAGGCCCACATTATTATATTTTATTATATTCTGTGTGCGTTTCTTGATTTAATTTTGAGCAGAAACAACATCTCATACCTACAGGTATAACAAAAACGGAGCACCATGACGCCAATTATGTGTTCGAACAGATAAAAATAGAACGAGTGCTAGAAAACTTAGGATCTAATCTAACAGAGAAGTCACTTACTCACTAGAAAAACAATTATATTGTTACAGTTACATTATTGGTCCTTAAAAGACCTTGAATTCAAACGATTGCGTACCTAATAAGAACCAGTTGATTTACAATTGGTTCTTATTAATTCGTCTTGTCGTGGAGAGAATTCCTAACAAATCCTGGTAAAATAAAACTATGGCCTCCTGGCAACAACAAATATCATTGCGATGATCTGCTTGACAATAAAAGATGACCGGGGTCTACGTGTATACCCGAGTACTAGCGCAATAAGGTACCATGGCATCGGCCTTATGCAGGAGAAGGAACGGGGGGATTCTTAGTTAGTAAGAGTCTGACACTACCTGTCACCTCACCCTAGGCGAGTGAAATCATTTGATGAATCCTTTTGATGTGTCTTCTGAAACAAAAAAGAAGTGATACCAAGGTTACCAAGTTTGCCGAGGTTGCAGGTCAGGTGCATTAATATACCGCAGCTTCGGGTGCAAGGGGGACAATTATCGAAGTACTAAGCCAAATACAAGAAGTCTTAGGTTCGCTCATTGAACATTTATTACTAAAATGAGCAATTGTTTATCTTTTCCTTCTTGACAATTTATTTTTTACTTTTTAGTTCATCATTTTTAAACATGGCAGCCGAGTTTAATCTTTTAATTATTATTTATTATTTAAACGTCGAAGAAAATTAGTTTAATCTAACTTTTTAACTTCATCAGAATATCGTATAAATAATCAAATACATGAAAAATCTACACGAAAATTCTCTATCAATAACTAACCGTGAGAAAGTGCCCCTCCAAAACCCGGACCACAGATTAAAATACCCATTTTAATAGACACCATCAATCAACGCACTTCGCCACCATCCGAAAACAATTACCAACGACAATGTCATAGAAATAGAAAAAAGAAAAAAAAGGCAATGACTTCGCGAAACATAATCTTCCTATAATACTTGGGTAATTATATATTTCTATTGTGCGGTCTGCCCCTAATGTGAGGGGGTTTTTCAACCCCTCGGTGTGGTCTGTGATTTATCGAAGAAAGCTTTTAAACCCTTGCAATGTCCATTGTTATCTTGTATTTATATTATGCTCTGGATTACTGGTCGCGATTTGCTTTGTAAACCCGTTGTTTTTGAGTAATAGGTCATTATGCTCGTGGTAGACGATTTGTTTCGTTGAAGTTTACTTACGTAAGGTTTATTTGATTTTTGTTTCAGTTACAGTAAGTGCGTGTAATATTTTGTTTGTGGTTAAAGATGTCATTTACATGTCTTTTTTTATTAAAAAATAATGATTTGATCTGATGATCTTTAAGTAGGTATAATTGGAAGAAGGAATAAATTACAAGGACACTTTTCACATCGTCCCGTCATCAGCTTATAACTGCTCAGCAAAGGCCTTTTCTAACACGGAGAAGGTTTGAGCCACGTTTGAGCCTACCCCCTACGCTTGTTCTAGGCGGATTGACGATTTCAAACTTATAATTAGAAACTATGATTCCAGGTTTCCTCACGATGTTTTCCTTCACAGTATGTCAGTGGTGTCTACATAATCATAGAAAGTATATATCAATAGTAAAAGTCTTGTTGGTTCTTGCCAGGTTTCGAAGATTTTCGAGAAGTCTTAACCTCCGGGACACCTCACAAACTTTAGTAGTTTAGGGGCTCCTGTAGATTGTACCGAGCTTCTTGGAACAGGTATTGCAGATAAATACACCATCTCGCTTGCTGCGGACATTACTGTAACCTATAACTTTTAAATATCCGTGATACCCGCTACTGTACTATCAGTGTCTTAAGTGCATGGAGGATTCCAAATCAAAATCGTTTGTACGGCGTTTCATCGCCTTAATAATATTACCATGGATGACATAGATGGCGCTAGTATACTAGTGGTATTGAAAAATATACATTTATAGTTTTTATCAGATACAAAGTTATTAACTTAAAACTTTTACACAAATTAATGCTAAGATATTCCAAACCTTTTTAAAGCAAAGCACGCATTAACCAGGATTCGAACTCGGTAGCATAAAATTTACCGATGCCACTAGCCATTGGGCCATTGCGTAACCTTGAAATCGATTGAAATTATCCTACTCTTTATTATATTGAAGTTGTTTAGCAACTTTAACCCGATCATAAATCTCAATACAGTTGAGGGTAATTTAATATTAACTGCGTATAAAAATTAAACCTTTTTGTTCAATCACAACATTCTTTACTATCTTTGAGTGAGTTCAGTTACGATTTGTTTAACAAGTTTTTAATATTTATTTTTATCATGAGTTTGCGTTCAAATATTGATATGGCACGAGGGCCCAAATAATAGCATTGCATAATCAAAGCTTAAATTATACTGAAATTTCGAGAAAGACTGGCTTAAACGTAAGTATTCTTTTAAAATGACCGTTCGTTATTTATTTTATTATCCATGGTTATCGATACATAAAAATAATAATTAATAATACACGTCCCTTACAGGTAAAGACTGCCACTTTATGGATATCTAAAGCTGTTTCAAGAAGAGGGTTCATTGGAGCACCGTAGTGGATCTGGCTGAAGACGTGATATTGACTCAGACCAGCTTCAACTTATGGGGCAAGGTTATGAGGAAAATTACTGGAGCATTGTCATCTTCAGTGACGCAAACAGTGTAAACTACATAGATGTGCTGAAAGACGTCATGAAGATGTGCTAGTGATAACGTTCGTGCAGGACAATTGTCCTATGTGTTCCATAATTGTGCAAGTGTTTAGTCAGCAATCAGACATACGGATTATTCCTTGGCCAGCGGGATAGGAGAAATAGGATCGATAAAAATGGCGGCTATACTAGTTCTTAGAAGAAAAGATATTGTTGACTAAGCAATTACAAGACCGGGGTAGCTATATTTTATTTAATGGATAAATGTTCAAACTTAGTGTTAGTGGGATAAATTTATTGACTACTTTATAACCAGCAACTGTTATTTACAGTAATTATTTTAATATTTTACTAAATATGAGAAATAAAAATAACAGCAATATTAATATCTACAGATGCTATTGATTGCAAAATAATAAATTATTTATTTATTAATTACTATAAACAATTCGTCCCATATCTAATGAATGCTATATCCCGGTCTTAGAAATGTTATTGATTTAAGGTCTAGCTTCAATTTCTTCCTTGTTCTGGAACGAATACTTAAGCTATGAGCCTTTGTCATAACATGCACAAAATGAATCACTTTAGTCAATACTTTAAGTAAATTTTATGGGGAGGTAAAATATTTGCAGAAGTAAGGTTGCATATTATATAGAATCGTATTATAACATTGTGTTTAAAACTAACTAATAAATGACTAGCACAACACAATTCTGTTTTAAAATACTTATTAATCTTTTATAAAGTGTATTAAATAATGTGTTAGTTAGCTGAAAAGTTATTAGGTCAAGGCATACACTATATATATAAGAAAGAAATAAAAATTATGTTTTAAGAAATAAATGTCTGAAATTATAATGTCACTAAAATAGTTTTATTTGTTATCCTTTATGAGAATTACACTTAGTATTAGTCTTAATCTGTGAGAAAAATATGTTACTTTTACATTAGTTAGCACATATTATAAAAGTTATTTATATATATTTATTATTATAATTTTATTCTAAAATAATATATATATTTATTTTTGTTATCTTTTATAAATATTAAACGTGAAACATTTTATTCATATATTATTATTATTAATTTTATATAAAAAAATATAAAAAAACCATTGTTAAAAAACCTGAATTTAAAAATGATAACCCAGAATTGAACCGGTGCCCTTCGACTTCATAAGTCTACCATTCTTATTCATCCGAGCTACCAATCGCATTTTTTATGAAGTCGAAAATGCGGGTTAGTTTATAACTTTTATTATTGTCTATTATTAATTATTGACGCCATCTTTTAATTGGTTTGCTTGACTTGACTTAGATCACGCTGGCGCTATATTAAGTCCTCGGAAATGAGAAAAGTAACATAATTTATGTGTATTTCAATATAAATGTATTATTGTTTCTTAATTATTATTTTAACCATTAAAAACCTTATTGTGTGCCTCTGTAGTGTAAAGTATTCAAGCTTTGCAGGGTTATTTTCATTTAAAAGCAGCGCCATCTAGTTATCAATGGTAGCGTTATGCAAAACCTGTCAGTCAATAGTCGACCTTAAGCTCTCCATGCATTTTTGTCACCCTTAGTACCTCAGCTTATTCTGTCTCGGTATTGTAGGATAGTACAAATTGGAAGTCAGGCGTGATGTGGCATTGGCAACTTATTTTCTGAAGGTATTGAGAGGTACAGTACAAAACTTTTTTGGAGCATACAATACAAAACTCTAGTATACTCTCAGAGATAGGTTTTTAAATGCCAGACGAGTACGTGGCGCGGCAGCGCCGTCCCCCGTTGCTGATGGTGCCGCGAGCGCGCGCTGCTCACATATGTCTAGCCATAAATACTGTAACAAATAAAAAAAAAAATTTTTTTCTTTTGCAAATAACATTTATTACTTTTACAGTATGTAAGTTTAATACATCAATATAAAACAATTTAAAACATAAAAAGCTTATTCGAAGTGGTCTCCATTGGCTGCAATACAGTCCTTTAAACGTTGAGGCCAGTTATCAATAGGTAGGTATATTAAGTTACTATGTCGAATTAGGTTAAGTAGGTATCTGTAATGGCAAAGTAATAAATAAATGTGATATAAATAAATAACCTCTTACACGCGTCGAAAACCAAAACGAACACTGTCTTTAACCCAACGTACTATTTTTATTTTAAGCTGTAAAATGCACTGTCAAAGAATAAGACGTCACAATTAAAAAACAATACATGACGTAAATGTTCTTTAAATTCAATTTATACTACCTATTTTGTTTTTTGTTGTTTTTTTTAACATTAAAATCTTGCGAACATAACTGCTTTGCAGTTTCAAGCGAGGTTTCATACCACGGGCTTAACACAGGCCGGCCGCGAGGGGTCGCCGCCATCAGTCGCTTTCTGGGTACACCATGGTGTTCTGCCCATTAACACAGTCACTGTATGCTTCTTAGTGTCCACCAGGTGGTCCTAACAATGTTTCGCCAAAGGCAGGAGAAGTAATTCAGCAATTAACTGCCTTAAACAAGAGACGTGTTAATTTGAAAAGACCATAGCTAGGTAGTTAAAAGAAAAAACTTAATATAGTTGCTTAACTCCTGGGTGGCAAGTTCGCGCTCCTTCAGAGAAGAATCGCCGATTAATTAAAATTATGGAAAGACAAGGCTCAGTAATCTGTAAACCTTATCCCCACGCTTGTAGCAATTTAAAACGTGTGCCAAGAAGATTACCCATGGCTGTTTTACGATTAAACCCAAAAAATACTTCCTCGTGGCTTAAGAAGCCGACTGCAAGCATGGGTAGGTATCAAGCGGTCGGTCGTGTCGTGTTGGCTGCATCGGTCGTGTCTGCCTGCTAATCTTTCCGGACATATTGTATGAGTAGTGTCGGATGTACCTACCTATCCTATCGTGTCGATCGTGTTAGTCGTGTCGCTTGCATCGGACCTATCATGTCGGTCGTAGTTTTTTCTTACAGGACAATAACATCAAAAAGTGTCCGAGGTTGGTGTTTATGGGTCGGAAGAGAACAACAAGAACAACACGTTTCTTGGTAATTAAGTAAGCAGTTAATTTATTTAAAATATATGTACAGTTTCCAAAAATAATAAGATACAAATAGGACGTAAGTATTTTATTTTATTCTAGACATTTCTTTACCTAAAGATAAATTATTTTTTAAAAAAAATACTTGTTCTTATAACTAGATAGTTAGGTGACTGTGTACTGTTATTTTATGTACTGCAAAATGTTAATTTTCAAACGGAAGAAATTATCAATGCTGAAAAAGAAAGCTACCACTGATTATTATATATTATTACCTATTCGTACTATCAATTCATATCAACCATAGTAGCGCCATCTTTCGGCAGCCGTATGACAAATTCTAGACAAAATGGTGCATGCTTATTGTGACAGAAAACTCTTTGACATCATGACGTCAATGGATGGTTGTCAAACGTTGCCTAGAGATTGTAAATTTCGTCGTGAATTGTCAACACGAGTTGGTGTAATCGGTAAGGCGTGTGGATTACACCACAGAGACCCCGAGTTCGAGTCCCGCCGTAAACATGAAGTTTTTTAGTTGATGGAAGTTTTGTCGAACTTTCTGGAATATTTGAGTGAAAGTAATGAAAAATTAAGGAGCGAGAAGGAGAATAAATAAAAATGAATAACGAAATTATTGGAAGGTTCTGGAGGCATGACGATCAAAAAGAATAACGAAATTGAATGTTCTAGAACCTGACCGGGGGTATATAACCGGAACTGCGGCTCACCGCTGGCAGTTGAGTTCTAAGTCTAAAGCGATTCGGAAGAAAAGGAAGAAGTGAGAAAGAAGAAAAGTGAGTGAAATAGTGAAGTGCAGTGAAATAGTGAAGTGCAGTCAGTTAAGTGAGTTAAGTCAGCGTGAACGGCAAAGTTGTGTCAGTCGGCCGGACTCTGCTGGAGAGGAACGCCGATAACTTAACTCCGTGGACGCTGTAACTTAAGTGCAATAGAAAGTCTGAAAACCGGTATTAGTGTTTCATTTCATCCAATCCCGTAACCCAAGCCCGCATAGTCAGGAACGTGACGTCAGGCACGTAACATTTGGTGTCAGAAGTGGGATTGGAGAAAAATGCCGCTAGTGCCGCAGGACGTAAGAGGAGTGAGTACCCGTGCTATGTCAGAAGCGCAGCGTGTGAGGGAAGAGGGTGCTGCAGCTCAGACCAGCGATGCAGAAGCCAAGCCTATGCAGATGGATCTTCTGCTACAGCTGCGGCAAATGATGGCAGAACAGCTGCGTGAGCTGAAAGAAGATCAAGCGCGCCGCCAAGAAGAGCGAGCACGCTGTCAGGCAGAACAGCTGCGGGAGCTGAAAGAAGATCAAGCGCGCCGCCAAGAAGAGCAAGCGCGCCGCCAAGAAGAGCAAGCGCGCCGCCAAGAAGAGCAAGCGCGCCGCCAAGAAGAGCAAGCACACTGTCAGTCAGAACAGCTGCGGGAGCTGAAAGAAGATCAAGCTCGTCGCCAAGAGGAGCAAGCGCGTCGCTTGGAGGACATGCATAAAGATTTCACGAAGGGACTGCAAAGGCTGTCGAACGGGTACAAGAAGTGGAGGAAGGGTTAGGCAAGTTGAAACTTCGCGTCATGGCGATAGAGGAGAGACTGGAAGAAGAGATCTCCAAAATCAAGCAGGAAGTGACAAACCCAAGCCCTTTGAAGAGCCGAAGCCGTCTTGCAGCCGTTTTTGACGCCCCAAATGCGGCCTAAGCGCAACGAAAGGGCTCAAGATTCCCCATTACGACGGAACAACATCCTGGACTGCGTTCAAGCTACAGTTTGAGACACTTATGGAGGCTTATGGTTGGACTCAGAAGGAAGCACAGTCAGCCCTTACCCTGGCCCTCCGTGATCAAGCGCTCTCAGTGCTGGAAGCTATCGGCGCAAGTGGGGATCTCAGCTTTAGTGACCTCCTCGACGCACTGGAGGCACGTTTTGGAGACAGCCACCTCGAGCACGTGTACAGAGCGCAATTAAAAGAGCGTACTCAGCGTGCTAATGAGAGCCTACAGCAATGGTCCGTGGAAATCGAGAAACTTGTACGTCGAGCTTTCCGGTCGACTCCGTCAATGATTGAAAGCACGCTTCTCCAAGCGTTCATTGACGGTATTCGGGACCCAGAAGTACGAGCTGCTGTTCATCTGGGCCATCACAAGATCATGAAAGAAGCTCTGGCCCATGCATGGAAGTGGAAGCCGTGCGTGGCAACTCCCGTACCTTACGTCTGCGGGAAATGACGACAACGGAGCAGGTACCGCCACGCCGTCGGAACTTCATGTGCTATGGATGTGGAGAGCGTGGGCACATACGGAGCGACTGCCCGAAGAAGATGAACCGCAGGACGCGGCGGTCTCAACTTCTGACCAGCAGGGAAACTTAAATCCAGCCAGGGCTGCGGGGTGGGCGCTGGCTGGTAGTGGAACAACCCCAACAATCTACATCAAGCAAACCAACGATGGAAATACTCTGGTGATAGACGGTCAAGTAAATGGGAAAAAACAGTCAGCTAACATTAGATACTGGAGCTTCAAGGACGGTGATAAATGTTCGGCTGCTCGAGCACAACATCAGGAAACACCTTAAACCAATTGTTGGCCTACAAATGAAATCAGCTACCGGCCAGTGCATACCGATAAGTGGAAAACTGCATGTAACAATCAAAAATTGGGGAACGTGTTTATCGACATGAGGTTATTGTGGCCAAAATTCTGGATGACTGCATCCTGGGACTTGACTTCCTGCAAGGGCACCAGTGTAACATCGACCTAAAATCTGGAGTATTACTATGTGGAACTGAGGAAATTCCGATGAAGGGTGGAACCCTGGGAAAAGTTTGCTGTTTAAGAAGAACTGTTCTTGCCCCAAAATCACAGACTCTCGTACCAATTGCATTACCTAGGAGGAGGGAAGGAAGTTTACCTCGAAGGTGCGCTGTGATTGATAAATCGGAACACGTAAACTCATGGCTACCGGCAAGAACTGTCGTGGGGTCATCTGATGTTAACCGCATTCCGGTATTCAACTTCAGTGATACAGAAATTACGATTGAAGAAGGAGAGCCTGTGGGCGTATTGGAAGAAGTGGCCTGGATAAGAAAATGCTCGGAGAATCTTGTGAAGAAGGACAGTACGGGAATAGACTTTGTAACGAAAATCTTAGACGAAAACAAAAGTCTGACAAAAGTGGAGACTATGAAAGCTAGAAATTACTTCTTCGATTCTCTGATGTGTTTTCAAGAAGCGATGGTGATATTGGCCGAACTGGTTTGGTGAAGCATAAAATAAACACAGGTGATACAATGCCATTCGTCAAAGGCCCAGACGTATACCATTCGCTCGTGAGAAAGAGGTTGAAGAAATGATTGACGATATGAGGAAAAATGACGTGATAGAGCCCTCTTCTAGCCCTGGTGTTCACCTGTCGTGCTTGTCAAGAAGAAAGATGGTTCAACGAGGTTTTGCGTAGACTATCGACGATTGAATGATGTACCCAAGAAGGATAGCTACCCGTTACCAAGAATCGATGACACACTTGACACACTGAGTGGCATGAAATGGTTTTCAACGCTCGATCTGAAAAGCGACTATTGGCAGGTGGATTTGGATCCCAAGGACAAGGAAAAGACCGCATTCTCAACTGGGAAGGGACTCTGGCAATTTAAGGTGATGCCATTTGGATTATGCAATGCACCGGCAACCTTTGAGCGTTTGATGGAACAGGTGCTGGCGGGACTGCTGGGCGAAACCGCCTAGTTTACCTCGATGACATCATCATTGTTGGACGGGATTTTGACGATCATCTAAGGAAATTGGAAAAGGTACTCGATAAGCTGGGTGGAGCAAATTTAAAGTTGAGTCCAAAGAAATGCTCTTTCTTCAAGCGCGAAGTGAATTATCTAGGACATGTTATTTCTGAGCGAGGAATTGAGACTGATCCAGCCAAGACTGCCGCTGTTAAGGAATGGCCAACACCTAAAGACAAAACGCAAGTTCGGGCATTTCTTGGATTGTGCTCGTATTATCGGCGGTTTGTGAAAGGATTCTCGGACATTGCCAAGCCTTTGCATCGATTGACAGAGGAGAAACGTGCCTTTATCTGGGACGAGGATTGTGAGCAAGCCTTTCGAGAACTAAAAGAACGGCTTTGTAACACACCAATTCTCGGATACCCCAGCGCGAAAGGAATATCGTAGTTGATACGGATGCCAGCAATATTGGAATAGGAGGTGTCCTTTCACAACGCGATGGTGAGCAGGAGAAGGTTATTGCTTACTTCAGCAAGTCACTATCCAAGCCGGAGAAGAATTATTGCGTGACCAGGAGGAAATTGCTGGCCGTAGTCAAAACTCTGCACCATTTCAAGAAGTATTTACTGGGACGGAAATTTTTGATCAGAACTGATCACGCTGCTTTGAAATGGCTGCTTCAGTTTAAGGATCCCGAAGGCCAAGTAGCCAGATGGTTGGAACAACTTCAGGAATTTGACTTTGATATCGAACATCGCGGCGGAAGAATTCATGGCAACGCAGATGCATTATCGAGACGCCCATGCGTGGAAGATTGCAAGAATTGTGCCAAGAAGGAAACTGCTTTTCTTAAGGTGATAAGGACTGATACTGTTGACGAGGCATGGGGAGATGATGCGATGAAATTAGAACAGGAAAGAGATGCAGATATTAAACCAATACTGGAGTGGCTACGAAGTGGTAACAAGCCAAGTTGGAGTGAAGTCGCCCAATATAGCGCGGTAACGAAAGGTTTATGGGCACAGTGGAAAAGCCTTACGCTGCATAACGGACTTCTGTGCAGGAAATGGGAATCAACAAACGGCAAGAACGAGCATTTGCAATTGGTGGTGCCTCGTTCAAAAATAAGGGATGTATTAAAAGCGTTTCATGATGGATCTTCTGGAGGACATTTGGGAATTAGGAGGACTTTGGTGAAGATCAAGGAGAGGTTTTATTGGTTGCATTGCAAATATGACGTCGAAGATTGGTGACGGAAATGCACTAGTTGTGCAGCTGTCAAGGGTCCACAAACAAGAAGCAGAGGGGCGATGAAAATCTACAATGTTGGTATGCCTTGGGAGAGAATAGCCTTAGACATCGCTGGACCATTTCCAATCACTAATTCGGGCAATCGCTACGTTTTAGTGGTTATGGATTATTTTACAAAATGGCCGGAGGTCTTTGCCATACCGAATCAAGAGGCAGTAACTGTAGCCACGAAGTTGGTAACGAGGTATTCACCCGATTCGGAGTGCCCTTGGAGATGCACAGTGATCAAGGACGGAACTTTGAATCCCAAGTTTCCAGGAAACTTGTAAACTTTTGGGAATCCATAAGACTCGAACGACCCCTTATCATCCACAGTCAGATGGAATGGTCGAACGCTTCAACCAAACATTGGAGCGACACTTAGCAAAGGTGGTGACAGCCATCAGAGAGATTGGGACACTTACATACCTCTCTTCTTGCTTGCCTATCGGACTGCTGTACATGAAAGTACCGCAAAGACGCATGCATTTGCAAATTTTGGAAGGGAATTGAGATTACCGGCAGATCTTGTATCGGGCTGTCCACCTGGTGACTCTCGCACCGAGTTTAGCGATTACATAAGCGAGTTAAGGGCAAAAATGTTGGACATTTATGAGCAGATCAGGGAGGCCGGTCTTCAAGCTAGTGATAGCGCAAAGACGCGCTATGATCGACGAGCCAATTCTGTTGGGTTTGAAGAGGGGTCATTGGTCTGGCTTCATAATCCAGTCAGAAGGAAGGGAAAATCTCCAAAGCTGCAACCGAGTTGGGAAGGTCCTACGAGATAGTCACGAAGATCAATGACATTACTTACAGAATTCGGAAGTCTTCAAGGAGCCCTTTGAAAGTTGTCCATATAGACAGGTTGGCGAGGTATTACGGCAGCAACGATGCTCGGGACGAGCGAATCTAAGAGGGGGCAGTGTGACAGAAAACTCTTTGACATCATGACGTCAATGGATGGTTGTCAAACGTTGCCTAGAGATTGTAAATTTCGTCGTGAATTGTCAACACGAGTTGGTGTAATCGGTAAGGCGTGTGGATTACACCACAGAGACCCCGAGTTCGAGACCCGCCGTAAACATGAAGTTTTTAGTTGATGGAAGTTTTGTCGAACTTTCTGGAATATTTGAGTGAAAGTAATGAAAAATTAAGGAGCGAGAAGGAGAATAAATAAAAATGAATAACGAAATTATTGGAAGGTTCTGGAGGCATGACGATCAAAAAGAATAACGAAATTGAATGTTCTAGAACCTGACCGGGGGTATATAACCGGAACTGCGGCTCACCGCTGGCAGTTGAGTTCTAAGTCTAAAGCGATTCGGAAGAAAAGGAAGAAGTGAGAAAGAAGAAAAGTGAGTGAAATAGTGAAGTGCAGTGAAATAGTGAAGTGCAGTCAGTTAAGTGAGTTAAGTCAGCGTGAACGGCAAAGTTGTGTCAGTCGGCCGGACTCTGCTGGAGAGGAACGCCGATAACTTAACTCCGTGGACGCTGTAACTTAAGTGCAATAGAAAGTCTGAAAACCGGTATTAGTGTTTCATTTCATCCAATCCCGTAACCCAAGCCCGCATAGTCAGGAACGTGACGTCAGGCACGTAACAATATCACACACAGAGTGTAGACTTTTAGAGGTATATTACATGAGTTGAAGGATGAGCAGATGTTAAACATTTATAATATTTAACAAAATAAACATATAGATTATTTATTTAAATCCTAAAATATAAAGCAATAACAAAACTAACATGATTTTATAACGAAAAATATTTATAATTTTATCTGTGCACTTTTCTTATATTTTTTTTTACTATACGTAGTCTCTAAAAATAAGATGCAATGTATCATGATTTTTATCATTAGCACAAAATATATAAAATTCTCTTTTCTATTTCAATTAATCAAAAATTATAAAAATATTTTTAATTTTAGTTTCTATACATTCACCGGTCAATAAAATTCATATATTATCTGTGACGAAACTGTAGGGTTAAGCGCCACCTGTTGAGTAAATTGTATGACTACGTAGTTGATTCAGTAAAATAGTTCAAACGTTTACTATCTTTTATTATTTATTATTTGATAAACGAGAAAATTATGACTTTAAATAAAAGAAAATATTTTTTAAAGCATATTGAGCTAGAAATACAAATAACATAATGAATTTTTTGCCCATTTTCGTTGCTAGAATCTACAAGTTTATACTTACCGCCAATATGCGGCGGCGTTTCGGCCATTTTGTGAACCCCGCGACAGGAAGTGAGTATTATAGGTGCTACGCAGGCGCAAATTGACCTTTCGGTTGAAGAACCCGTCGGTCACATGTGAGTGTCGATAAATATCTTAGTTTTATCGTGAATCCTTTATAAATAGTTGTAATTATTGTTTTCGTAAGTATTTTCTATGGTGAATATAAATTTGTGCATATACGGTAATATCGCGATGTGGATCTTGTGTAATTTATGAAAAAGTAATGTGCCGCGGCACCGGCACGTTTGTCAAATCGCTATTTTTTTTTCGTTATCTCAGGATTCGCATTAAAGATCAAGTTCACACTCATTGCGTTTCTAGGTGTTTAAATTTGTTGTAGAGGTGATTTAACGGTTTGTGGTTTTAAGTAATATTTTCTTGTGTTGGGTCTGCTTAAGACATGGTCAAGATGTCTCTTGTGAACCACATGTTCGGGCACCACATTATCCACTTCGTGTCGTCTCCACCACCGTGCCTCAGTGTGGATTTCATTCAGTAACTTTTGTTTATTCATCATACTTTTGTGTTATCGTCCCAATTCGTCACCATAAGGTGTGTGTCTAGTAGATCCTCCCACAAAGGTTTTTCGTCGCAACGCTGTAGGTGGGGTTAGGTCGTGTCAAAATTTTCAAAAACATACCTATAACTGTCTAGACTGTTTCCACCCTATAGTATGGTGTGTTGTGTATAGGTTATATTTATAACTGTGTGTATGTATGACTTGACAGATTGGATTAGGTCATTATCTTCAATGTAATTGGCACTTTCTAAATTTTTACTTGCTATCTATTGGTTGGGTGTTGTGTGAGTTCCAATGGAATAACATAAGGGTCTCTTTATCTTTCTTGTGGTATCAATGATTTACTCATTTGTCTGCAAAATGCTAATTAAATACTTGTTACTTTGTTTCAATGTGATAAACATACTATGAATGTAATAATTTATTCACAATATGATATCATGCATTGTATTTTTCTTACATCAGTTTTATTCATGTTAGTAATCCACATTGTCGAGACCTGGGTGTAGGATGAAAAGGTTTGGCTTTGTTTAGTCATTTTGACTTAATATATCTTAATCGTCAGCCACTGCTGAACTAAAACCTCATCATGCAAGTTCAAGGCAAGCACCCAGTATGCAGCAGATTAGTAATCATTTATCAGACAAAGCCCCGAAGATTGTTATAGTTCTAAAGTCCTACCAAGAATATGTGTCAGGTCTTATAAATAATATTCATTGAAAAAGCATTAGTAAGTTGACAAATTCAAAAACAACTTTATTGATGGCACATCAGAAACTTTAAGACCATTTCAATACATCTCCTTGCCGTGAAATAATAACATGAATATGTGACCTACAATGTCAATTAAATTAATATTTTAATTACACAGGCTTACATGCCACAGTGGCACAAAATAAATCATTCTTTAGTCTATGGTTTCGTTTTAGATAAGCAGTATTGTAAATATAATAACTTTATCTTTTTCTTCTTCAATATTTCACTTATTTGTGACATCTTAAGTTCATATCACAAAACCTAAAGCTCAACATTTCCCATCAAAAGGATTTGGTTGTATTGTTTTCTGTATTTTGGATATAAGATTTTGTCTAGGTGTGCCAAAGTATTTTACTTCTTACTCGAGCCCATAGAGTCGCGAACTTGGTTCTATGCCATGCTCGTGCTGAGGGTACTCGGAAATTGAAGACCAGGCCCGACTATGCGTCTCATTTCACAACTGTGTTCTGGGATCACTGTCCAGGGCCACAAGTCTACCTTTAAAGCCAAGTAATTATACAAGGGATAAGTTTAGATTAGCTGCTGAGCTTGTTTTTCTGCATGTCTGAAACACAATTACCACAAATCAGCTGACATCAGAAAGTTATAGTTCTTGCTGCTTTTACAGATTTCTGCAGCTAGGAAGATTTTCACTTTTAACATCTTTAAAGTTCATTGACTAGCCGGTCAACAACCTATGTGCTAATTTTTTCGTCACTTGTGAGTCATGTTGGAGACTTAATGCCAAGGCTCCATTGGTTAGCGTAGCTTCTATATTAACTGTCAATGGATGACAGTTGTGAATGGTCAAGTTCAGTGCCACTTCTCAATTTAGTTGATAGTATTGGTTTAATATTAGTTTTGTCCTGGTAGGTGACCGTTACTTTTGTCGTCGTTTTAACTTATGTAGGGATCTCTGAATTAGGGGATAGAGATAACTCTAGCATTGTCTTAGTTAGTTAGTCAGTTGAATATTTATTATTATTGTGGACAAATTTATAATTACTATTTGTTATTTTACCAGATCACTCCTGACCGTATCTAAAACTCGGCACACAACACAATGGCTGACATCGAGGATACACACTTTGAGACTGGGGACTCTGGTGCCTCCGCCACCTTCCCCATGCAATGCTCGGCCCTGCGCAAGAACGGTTTCGTCATGCTCAAGGGTCGCCCCTGCAAAATCGTCGAAATGTCTACTTCTAAAACTGGAAAGCACGGCCACGCTAAAGTTCACTTGGTTGGAATCGACATTTTTAACGGCAAGAAGTGAGTATTATTTAATTTATTGTTTGTATCCTGTTATGCAGGCACGTGAGTTCCAGTAAATACACTGGTCGGACGGGACACTATTGTCCGCGCCCGATCGGCGAAGGACAAAGTCCATTAAGTGCAATTTCTCATTTAAACGCGGTAGGAACTTATCCTTTTGGTGCATTATGCTGGGCAACAATAAATGATCTATTTCGAGCGACTAGAAATGCTTTGGTCGATCTATCATCGGAGTTGATGTGGCAAAACAAGAAGGCTCAAAAAACTGCTTATTGATTGATTTTACTGATTTCAACTTAGCAATACTTTAGCATATTTCAAATTAAAATAGAATCACAGAAATAAAACATTGTCAGGCTTTATGCTAAGTAATAATACGTTCACATTATCTTAGCATTAACACGTTACACTTGACCAGTAACCACTATCAGTGGACAATGTCTTATCATCGTGCTTACTGATAAATTGACAAAACCGCATGCCATGCCCGAGCCCATAGAGTCGCGAACTCGGTTCCATATCGACTTCGTGCTGAGGTTACTCGGAAATCAAAGACCAGGCCCGACTATGCGTCTCATTTCACGACTGTGCTATGGGATCACCGTCCAGGGCCACAAATTTAACAAAAAATTAATTTCCATGGTAATTCGGTGACACAATTTCATGCAGAATTAATTAAGTAAATGAGTTATTGTTCGAATGTTCCAGCTTTGGCTTATTTTTCTGTAACGTCACGAACATAGAATGTAACATCACCTTTTCATTAACTTATCGCGAATATAGCTCTTAGCAACGTAACTATATACAAGATCAAGTTCAAATTGCTTTAATTGCTTGTACTTTGGCTTATCTATAGAAAAGACAAATTTATCAACACGTGGTTCGTCTGGTCACATGACTAAGTAACGTCCACGTGTGCCAATACGGCGAGACTTTCTACTTTTTCAGAATGCCAATGTTTTGCTCTTGTTTTTGTATTTTAAATCATTACGAAGCAAATGATATCACTTTAAAGCAATTATATGTATTAAATTTTATTCAGTGTCTGTTTTTTTTTTCTAAAATAGTTTCATGAATAGGATGTACAAAAAACTAGATTACTCTGAAAAGAATAACCACGAGTAGCTAAAGTGGCCCAGTAATATTATGTGAATAGATCCGCCCATACGCGATAATTAATATCTTATTAACCTGTATACCGAAGTTATTTTCCTCCCGAACTATTTTTGTCTATCACTATTTATTGATTTTAAGTAGTGTTGCCTCAGACTCTCGTTATTAATATTTCACAACCTATATCTGTTGACCTGACCTATAAATAGGTGACATTTCGGATTAAGTATTTCTTTGTTATTCTTTAATATTTTTGATAAATGGAAAAATGTACCAGCTTTTACCCTAACATCGGGTGCCGAATAAAACAGTTTCAAATAAATCGCATATTAAATATTTTTAGTAGCGTCTTGTTAATTTGGTTCAGTCCTCTTTAAGAATACCACGCCAGTAATTAATTATTTTACGACATTATAATAATCTATTTTAAAATTCAGAAAAACCTGAGCAAATCAAGATTAACAATACTTTTATAATCGGATGTGTAAGCGGTTAGCATCTGCAGCTTCACAGCCACAATGTAAACACATTTTTGTTGCATCTTAATTTGAGAAAAAGGAATTGGTACACTGATTTACAAATTATTTACAATTATAGTCTTACTACAAAGATTCTATACTATCTAGAGAGCAAAATCGTTATGTTAAGTCGCCTGTCTTCATAACGTCACACGTCATAGTACTTTATTTTCTAGCATTCATACATCACATATTTCATAAACTTAATCTCCATTCACCAGATACGAAGATATTTGCCCCTCCACCCACAACATGGACGTGCCCCACGTGAAGCGTGAGGACTACCAGCTCACCGACATCTCTGACGACGGCTACCTAACCCTTATGGCTGACAACGGCGATCTCCGTGAGGACCTTAAGATCCCAGACGGTGACCTCGGCACCCAGTTGCGTTCTGACTTCGATAGCGGCAAAGAGCTGTTGGTGAGTAAACCTGTATTCATAAAAATGTCCAAAAGAACAACGTGACTTTTAAGGCTATGCATTGAGTGAAAGTAAAGAGAAATTTGTCTGTAGGGTACAAGTTTTTTGACAGATGTGATGGAGACATTACATTATTTCTTTTTGCCAACTTCCACGCAAACTGTTTCCTTTCGGTTCCGAATCAAAATGATATAAAACAAAATCTAAGCACGGTATCGATTCAGTTCCCTGTGACCTTAATTATTTACGACCTTCGCAGAAGCATACTTGATAAGTAATAAGCTTAAAAAATCAAAAATTGTGTATAAGAAATATTCACGTTTTCATAACCATCTTGAAACATTTTCGCCGCCCCGTCAAGTGGTCTGATACCTGATACCTACTTGACCTTTTCAGTTCTTTGTTTTCGTTTTTCCAGTTCCTTTCAATTAGCCTCATTTCTTGCAGAAAATGGTTATTTTGATGATTTAATAAGAAAATATTATTACGAGTAAACATTGAACATTATTTGCGTGTATTAAGTAGGAGAAACCGGAGACCAGAGATCACCGTAGTAAATATATGGTTATTTTTATGAAATTCGTTAAATATAGATTTGCATTATAAACTAACTTCAGTCGAATATTACAATTTGTGGCGATGGCAGTTCACGATTGATATACTGAAGTCTCGGATTAGTATTATTCTATAGAATAGATAAGGTATTTTGATTAGAGTGGAAAATCCTATAATCAGACTACATAATACTAACGAAATATCCCCTTGCCGAGCATTCAATTATATTGTTGCATTACATATGCTGCATTTCCTCTAGTTTTAACACATTATTATACACTCATGATATTAAATTCGGGACGTTCACATTACCAGCCCGTGTTAGTCATAAGAACTTTAAGACATCTGAATGGCCATAATCTCAACGCTTGGCATGCAGATTGGAGATTGGCTACATTTCAAAAATCAAACTCGAAAGTTCTGAACGGTGTCACCAGATCGGAAACCGTTACTCTTCATCGAAGAGCAGTGACGTCTGTAATTGAGTCGAAACAATGCAACACGTGGCTTGAACCGATTAGTAAATACACAAATATCACGATTTCTGAGATCATAATATTGTTACGTAGGCTCATCAATGTTATGCGTTAAAACGTCGGTCGTTATTGTTTTAAGACGTAATAGATAGCGTAACATAAACTTTGAGAAATTGATTTATGTTGATGATACCAGCTGATCCTTTAAAAGTATCTATATGCTCGATTGTAGTAACAACGTAAAGCAAATTGGATTACTTGATTGCTGTAGAGAAGGTAGAGAAAACTCACCTTCAATGCGAAAATTTATATACATCATGGGTGCAAATCAGTTGTTCTGTTGTGAGTCCTTTAAATGTCGAGTATAGAGTCTCTGACATGTTACTGTAACTTGTTGGTGCTAAATCCACTCGTATATTAATTCTCCTCCCCATACCTGGGCTGGTATTCATTGCAAGCCATATGGACAGTGGGTTTCGAGTACATTTCAATTAGAAATAGATAAACAGAATTTTCCATTATTTTCCAGAGCATCCATTAAAATATTAAGACATTTTGAAATATACTGTTTTGATTTTTATCTTAACGCCACGTGTAGACAACGTGGTTGGACAGTCGCCAACTTTTCAAATCAAGCATGATGTTCTGAAATATTGTCGTTTATTCAAAGGAAAAGACACTGCACAATAATTAGTTATTTCGACTGTGTACTGACCATTGAGAACCTGAAAGGTTAATCATCAATAAAAAACCTATAAACTTTGATTTGAAAACATAAAAATATTAGCTAAGCAATGCTGGTATAACAATCTTTAAATTGCATGTTTTGCCCTTTGAATATTTTAACGTAACACTGAATGCATCGCTAGTTATTTTTACCAACTTATTTACATGCCTAACTTGTTTCACAATATCGATCAGGGATCAATTATTCAGACCATTTTGAATACTTTGAAAACAAAATGTTTCAAGTCTTAAACTAGTCGTGTACATGGTTATCGTGACGAAGACAAAGATAAGGTTAAATTCTATTTTTATTTATACTTTATCAATTTCTGATATGGCTTTTATTTTCTAGTATCATTTCATTTAATGTACGTTTTAGAGGATGGGGAAAATTTTCGCGAATATTCTTCTTACAATGAATTAATACATACATTATAGTAATTAAAGATGCAGTTTACTAATTAATGTTGTCATAAAATTGTGATACATTGACTCCATAATTAACATGTTCCAATTGTGTTGTTTCAGTGCACTGTGCTGAAGTCTTGCGGTGAGGAGTGTGTAATCGCAGTCAAGGCAAACACAGCTCTCGACAAATAAACCAACTCAGCATTTATAGGGATATACATACATATAATTTTTTTACAATCAACAGCTCTTACATAAATGTAAAACATAATACTATGTATAATTTAACATAAAATATTATGGTGTGACGCGGTGCTGGCTTGTCGCCGTCCACTCCACCCCCGGGGGCACCTCGTGACGATGACATTGGTCTGTGAGCTGTGCTCACCGTACCGATGATGCGGTCCCAATGTTGTGATGGTAACATTCTAGAGATGTGTGTCAATTTGTTGTGTGGGTTCTCTAGTCGTTGTAGTGGAAACTTGGCCGCGCTGCATGCGTGTCACAGTTCTGTGGGCCTGTGTGTCGACGGCGTGGTTTTCATTGCATCGAATTGTTGCCGAACAATATCGCACGTACGCACGAGTTTTGCTCATGGATACAATATGTAATGAAATATTCGGTGCGTGGGACAGCAAGCATTAATTTATTTATACTTAAGTGTAATGTGCCCTCGAGTGGAGTGCGACGCTGGCAGGCGGCCGCGTGCGACCGGCCGGAACTTCACGTTTGTTTTTGTTTTGTTTGTTCTCTTTTCGCTTACAACGTCTACTAAACGTTAAAGTTACGTTGCGCTCCGCGTGCTGCCGAAGGTTTGTTGATCGACATCGGTGTCATGAAATTTCCCGTGGTGGATATTAATTTTTATTGGAATATAACCCGAAAAAGAGATGGACGCAAACTTGAAGTTATTACCATATTTTAATGCTAAATTAATGAATACATAAAAAATCGAGAAAATGCGCAAAAAAATAGAAATAAAGAAAATTCTTGAATGTGGTGTGTGATTGATTAGTCCTCTACTGGCACTTTCGTGCCGTGACGCCGCGTACGTGGCGCCCCTTCATGTGTAACACTTGCCATCTGTTCAAATAACATCCCACAGGCGCCTGTGGTGTGCATTCCATGGCGTGCAGTGTTCTGCTCCTCTCGTTTAACCGTGACGTGCTAAATCATTGAAGACTGACTTGAGAATGTCTCCTGATTACGACTGTCTTCAGGCAAGACTGACGATGCATTTGTGTAGAAGAAATAGTTGTTTTTTTTTAAATGTAAATTTGTGCTCACTCGGCCTTTCCTTGCTCTCTTTGTTTGCTCCTTTGAACACATGAGATGTTACACATTATCGAGTGGCTTACGATTGCCTAAATTCCATGTTTTAAATGTAGTGTTTTGCGACGGCCACTCTCTAGCAAGTGTTGCCTTCAAGGGCTAGATAGGGTACCATTCATTTGTATGTTAGTGGACTTATCAATATTCTTTTAACATCAGATTGTCAAAGACGATATGATATACGAAAATTAATGTAAGAATGTAAGGTAAGGCCCTATAGGAGAGATATTTTTTTATGCATTCAAAATTCGTACATCGCAGGTTGTACACTACTTTAGGCTGTTTCTAGGCAACAGTTATGTTCTCTGTACATTTTTTTCGAAATTGCATAATCGTTATTGTTGGTAAAGTTTTTATACTAAGCAGCTTGTAATCAGGTTTTTATTTTATAAAAAACCTAAAGTATATAAATGTAAAGACATCGGGAGGTGTAAAATAAAATACTTTAGATAAAAGGTAACTTTTCTTTCTGTAAAGATAAGCTGTTTTTTCCCAATGGAACCTTGAATGGATGTATTCCTTCCTTGTTGGATATATCTTGTAATATCCGAGGCTTAGAATAGCGTTTGCGGATTAAATGTGAATTTATTCATAGCCGTATAGAATTAATTAATTGGTGCACCTATAAGTTATTATTAGGAATTGATTCTCTTGCACACATGGTCTGTTGCTTACATTAGAGCAGTATCTTGTAGATTCTGTGAAGCGAGCTATATCACTGGACCTGGCCATTATGTTGTAAGCTTTCTGTACGAGTTACGAGTCAGCGACGTGCCACTCCTGTGTATAGCTTGTGTCAAATTTCATTATTGCGCTGTAAGAGACGGTCGACTGCTAGGTCGTTATCAAGACCTTGTGAAGAAGAGATGGTTTTAAATTGTAATGATCCAATAAATCTGCGGATTTTAATTTAGGAAACTTAAAATTATTTTTTATATTGGGGCGTAGGACAGGTTGAATAACTAATGTGACGGTATTTAGTACTAAAGTTCTGTATATACGTAAGATTGGATAGATTGATGGATAATTAACCCTAGTTACAAATATATCATAGCCCACTCTTGATACAGTTCTCCATTTCATGTTGTACGTTGATGCAGTACCGAATTAAAATAGCAACGGCCAATAAATGTAAAGCAGTAATAAGTACCTATTTAACAGTCTGTCGAATTAAATCTGTACAAAATGAAATACCGTGACTTGTGATTATTCCCTTGTAGATTTTTTATTTAGTTTTTCTTTTTATTAGTTACACACCCTTTTTAGTTTTTTGTACGCTTATATATTATGGGCCATTTATATTGACTCGATGGACGGAAACACTTAGGAAGGCGTAAAAGTCACACAATTTCGTGGTAAAAGACATCAACATTTTCGGACGCAACTCATTGCTTTCAAAGCGACCACTTCAAACTCTCGGAGACGGAGCCACGTTAACTTACAGCGACTCAATCTCAAGACCTAGCTCCTTGCATCTTGCTTGCGGAAATTGAAAAGGGCGCGTAATGGTCTTATATATTTATTTTGTTAAGGAAGTATATAATTATGTGCTCCAGACATAAACTAGTAAAACTAAAATAGGTAGGTATTTATGAACAACTTGATAATCTGAGAAATTCTAAAAAGGTAATTTACCAATACTCAGTACCTACATAGGGAAGTGATATAGACATTTATTCGTTCTCTTCAAAGTACTGGCTGACCACAAAAAAGCGACTAGGTACTTTCTTCTCATGACCTAAAGCTAGTCGGAGAAGACAAATCTAGTGAAACACTGTTTGGAGTAAGTATGTACTACCTCAATAAGTTCCTACCTGCTGTTATTAACATGTTGCGACTTATAGAATTGTTAAGTACAGTCTGACACTTCCTAGGTTCGATACCTGAATAAATGGCGTGCGTTCGTGCAGCGGAATGTTGTTGAATTTAAAGATTTTAATTATGCAGATATTTAGTGTATGACGTCGTATAATTGTGTATGGTAAAAAAAAATTCAAAGCAACGTATGTAAAAATCTACAGCTCTCTATGTAAGCGCTTTATATGAAAACTAGCTAATGGCCAAACGTTCGCGTAGCGGAAACTTGAATTTCTCCGAAGTTTATGCATGCACTAGTTTTATTCATACATACACAATTACACACAAATACACACTAATTTTTGGATACATCTCTATTCTTCTAAAGTCTATGGATTATAAAAAGTTCCGCCAGGACAACGTTCGCCCAGCGGAATCAGTTTTTGGTGAATTTCTCCACAATGGTTGCATGCACAATTTTTTTTTTACCATACCTACACAATTATACGACGTCATACACTAAATATCTTCATATTCAACAACATTCCGCTGCACGAACGCACGCGAATAAATGCAAGGTGCCCGAGCTAATTACAATAGAAGTCGTATCTATAATATACTATAATATTGTTAAAAGCAAAATCGATTGAAAAGCCTTCGAAACCGAGTAGAACGAATTGCCTGATGGTGCAATCAGCGCCGTCCAATGTCCACCCAACACTGATGTTACCAAAGTAATTATGGTGTTAGGGATACGAGGGGATAATTGGGCCTCCGATCCTGTTGCTTCACGCCAGTTTTCTATGAAACCGAGGTAGGTATTACTCAAGCCGGCCATTCGTGCCGAAGCATAGCTCTGCCACACTTTGGTTGAAGAATCTTTCACGCTATCACCGGTGAACATAGTTTTTTAAACTATGAGTATGAAATCGAGAAATGGAGATTATTATCATTGACTAAGCACAGCTTGAAGCTAAGTGTTAAATTAGTCTAAGGAATTTAACCTACCCCATTTCAGCAGACGACCGCGCAAAAGATACTGGCGAAGGTTGGAGGGAGATTAACTAGCTTTGCTGTTCATCGGAATTCATAGATTTTTCCCATATAATGAGATGTCCAAGTATCTGCCTAATTTATTGAATCCAAATACCTAGGTAAACTTAGACTGAAACATAAAAGATGCGTTTAGTGACGCACTAGAAATAAATCAGTTTCATACATTTTTCTATAGCACGTGACAGGACACATATAAGTTTCTAGTCTGTCATCACAATACACGTATAAAACCGATATGCGGCTTAATTGGTGTAGGGAAAATCTTCAAAACGAGAATAATTCTTTTGAAGATTTTCGCCCAGGGCATAGCGAGTAGGAGTGTCAGACTCCTACTGACTAAGACCCCTCTTTTCCAGGCCGAGGCCGCGGTAGGTACCTTGTTACCTACGCTTGACCCGCAACCCCGGCTGTCCTATATGCGATTGGCGCGTCACGACACGTACCTAGATATATTGGTTTATAGTTAGGTACTTAATTGATTTTTCGATTCGATTTTGATTCTTAACATTATGAGGTAGTGTGAGAAATAACAAAGGCTCCCTTATCAATAAAAAGCTCGAGTGGACTCCTTTCATCTCAAGTTTGACGATTGTTGTCCCCATAAGATCCCCACCACTAATTTTAAAAATAAAAGTTAGATTTAGTAACGAACACTTTAATTATAAGTCGTCATCGGAATAATCGTCCGAAGAAATTTCTATAACTAGGAAAGGGTCTTCAATATCAAATACTGTACATTCAAAGTTTCCACCTCGCTCGTTTAACATCGCTTGAACATCTAACCGCTCTGGCTTAATAGTAGTAGTTTGCGTTTTAAAATTAGTTTCTATACTTTCAGTATTAGTACTAGAATGACTACAATTTGGCATAAAACTTATACTATCTATTGGTTCACTGAAGTTTATTTTTATAGTTTCTTTCTCTTCCTTGATATTATTTACACAAACATTTTCTTGACTTAAATTATCTTTTTCACAATTATTATTATCCTTACTCATTACTGTCTTATCTGTTTCGTTTGAAGCTAAGCTATCAACATTAGTTGATTTTGAAGATTCGATGTTATCCTCCGTAATTGGTTGGGTAATATTCCTGTTTACTGAACTACATTGCGAAGGATTCATTAAGGCACTGTCATTATCAGGTTCTTCTATTAAAATAGTGTCTAGACTAGGTTTTTTGCAATTCATGTCAATTTTATCCCCAGTACTAGTGCTGGTGCTAGGAGTATCTTGTTTACTTGTTTCGGTTCGATGAGGAGAGGTTACGTCTTCATCTGCACTACTTCCGCTTGATTCTTCATTACATAGGAATTCTACTGTACTATTTCCTCCGTGGCTGTGATATCTTTGAGATTCCATTGCTGCATATCTGTTAATTAAATGTATAATATATACCAGGGTAAGTATATTGTGCATATGTATACCTATGCAACCAGTAGATATCCAAAAAACACTATGCTGACCGTATCCACAGATGTGTTAACCGACTTTGAAGGAAAGCGAGGTTCTGTTTTCCGAATCACTGGATATCTGAGCTTTAAATTGTCGTCGACGTGGAATCGTGGTTAACACATTTGTGGATACGATCAGCGTAGAGACTGCATAATATGGTAGAAAGTGAAAATAAGGGGGTAGATGAAGATTCATCATCCAAATGCAGGGAGCTGTGACATCGCATCTTCAGTCGTTTGTATACGCACCCACGAAACAGGAGAAAATCCTAGTGTGGGGCAATGTTTTTTTTATAAAAGAATTTCTGCTTGTAACCACGACCTGTGCAACCAGTTCGAAACGTCAAGCCACACCAAGGTTAAGTGTGGGAGAGCCATACTTCGGCACGAATGGGTCGGCTCGACCGGAGTGATACCACGGCGTCACAGAATACCGGCGTGAAACAACTCACAGCGTTGTGTTTCGCCGTGTGAGTGAGGTTACCGGAGGCCCAATCCCTCCCCTTCCCCATCCTTATATACGCAACTCCTATACCTAAAAGGCCGGCAACGCACTCGTAACTCCTTTGGTGTTGCGAGTGTCCATGGGCGGCGCCGATTGCTTACCATCAGGTAATCCGTCTGCTCGTTTGCCGACTTATACCATAAAAAAGGGTATTTAAATAATTATTTTTTTTAAGTTATTAATTACCTGTTTAGTATTTCAGTTTCATTATGCTTGGCTATTTTTTTATTCTGTTCCAACTTAGCGAATAGTAGAGGGTCTTTCTCAGCCGGGTCGTCATCTTCTAAATTCTTGTCTCGCATTAGGCTCATGAGATCCTGATATTCTCGCTTCTGGCGACGCTTACGCAAGGCTTGCCCGCATTGGACGAACAATGCTCTGGCTGAAACAGTATTTTGTCATTTAAACAAACTCTCCTAACGCTCCCAGTACTATTACAACTCCTATAAGCCACCATGAAAACTCCGAAACACTAATGTTCGCTACGTCTTGGCTCTTGCAACGGATTGAATTAGAAGATATTATTAAAGGGGAGGGAAACGAAATAGTTTCCACTTTCCTCGGTGAATTTAATGCAGGAGACAGAAGTGACTTAACCTCAAAGGTTACAAAGAGACTTCACAATTGGAAACCAGCCCAGTCATCAAGCACCAAGGATAAAAAACCAATTGGGTCCTGCTGCTAAAAAAAGCTGTTACAGTTGGTATGGTAAAAACACCTAAATGCACGAAAAGTTCTGATTCCAAATTGGTACTAATAAAATATTTTTCAAATTAATAATATGTAATAATAAAAAAAAACAGCTTGACGACTATTTTGGGCTTACAGAAAGTACGAACATTCTAATAAGTGACAAGAATTTAGCAAATTTGGTCAAAATTAAAGATCTTTTCAAAAAGCAAGAGGGAGAATGGTAGTCAATACAACAACCAACCTTCTTTAAAGACTTGGCTACTGCTCCATCCAAGTTGGTCTTCTGTATTTGACGTAAACACGCATTGTAGGACATCTTCAAAATCCGGGAACGTTATCGACCCGTCCTTGCCGAGAGTGCTGTTTAGAAACTTTTGCAGTGCTTTTGCCGGTCCCGGATGATGACCTTGGGCCACATTCAGCTTGATTTCGCATTTTTTTACAACAACCGCAGCATTACCTTTGATTGCACATATTGTTCTATAGGACTCGACAATGCTCTCTTTAAGCCTGAAAAGGTTAGGTAATAAGTTTAAAGAAAAAGTAAGTGTGTGGTTTCCAGTCTTCGGTGAGAATGGGCCAGCACGACCGGAGCAATACCACGACCTCACAGAAATAATGATGGGAAACAACACTCCTTGTGTTCCTCACGCATCGAGGGAGTGAGGTTGCCTCCCCCATCCCTACTATCCTTAAATCCCTAATGACCCAAAAAGGTCTGAGTTCGTCCCGGTAAACATGTAGCAGTGACTTTTTAAGGGATAGGTCCGGAAACGAGCATTGCTACCACCTAGTAACATATTAGTAATTTGAAGATTGGGGAATAAGCGGCGGGGTGGGGGTAACATCCCACGGCGAAATCAAAGGCAATGCGTTGTTCCCGGGTATCGTTATTGTGAGGACCACCTACAGGACATGGTGGAGCATACGATGGTAGTGTGCCCTACTAGGGTTTAACACCGCCGTGTTCTCAGGTAAGTAATCCTTGGCGGCGACCTCGCAAAAAAGGAGGCGGAGCGCATGAGGGAACTATCTATACTATCGACACTGCGGGCATCGGGGATCGAGCGAATTGTCGCTCGATCCCCGATGTGCTTACGATTGCCGGTCATTGGACCGGCAATCGTAAGCACAGGTCTGCGCGAGCAACGACAACGCGGTGGTTTTGAGTTGATATGAGTCTGGCATGCCCTCTTGATGCCTCATCTAAAGCGAGAGTAGGCATTTGTGTTCCCCCCTCAGAAAAAAAGCGTAGTGTGTGAAGCCATAGGTAGAATCTCCATAGGTAGCACTCCCACACTCGATACTAAAGGCCTTAACGCCTTGCTAAGTAGAATCAAGAACTGCGAAAATCTTCCCTATGGCAATAGGCTTGCGAGCAAGAGTAATGAATACTAACACCCGGTTTCTGAAAGGCTGGTCAACGCTAAAATTAACTAATCTCCTGTTAAATCTCTTGTCAAGTCATCTGATTGGTTGTTGATAATTCAGTCAACCAATCAGATGACTTGACAAGAGATTAAATTGATTTTAACATTGATCGGCGTTTCGGAAACTGGGTGTTAGTATTCATCATATTAGTTACATTCAAAGATAACATGATAAAATTTGTCAAATCCCTGTTTCCTGCATATTAAAATGAAGACATAAACTCACTTGGCACATTGGATGTATGGAGAGTATTTTGGGTCATCGGTCGTCACTTCTTGCTCTTCTAACTTTGCTAGCGCTTCTTTACACGACACAATACAACGTTCATGATAAGCTATTAATTCAGATTGATTACAGTCATAAGGCTCAACATCTTGTATACTAATTTCCTTATGGTTTTTAGGAACCAGAAGGTCCTGATCTATTTCATTTTCCATTTGGTTTTTATAAAACATATTGTTTTGCACTTTTCCATTTTCAATTAGTATTTTGGGTACCATATGGCCTTGGACTATAGCATTTTGATTTTGGTTTTTGGGAACTGAATAGTCTTCCACGGTTCTTTTTTCTATTTGGTTTTTAGGAACCGCATAGTCTTCCACATTTCTATTTTCTATTTGATTTTTGGGACTTAAGCAGTTTTGCATTAATGGTTTTTCCATTAGATTTGAATCTACAGTTATTCCAATTTCCTTAAGACTTTTGGAAAATATGTCTTGAAACTTTTCTTTTTTTGTACTCTCTATAGTCTGCTTCCGTGCAGGTTTGTTATTCTTGTTTGTTTCTATAATATTACTGGCTTTATTAGTGTCATCTGATTCTTTACCCTGATTTTCAATATGTGTTTGTGGTATCAAAACCTCAACATCAACATCGTCTGAACTTAGATTGTTATTATTATTATTTTGTGATGCATTGTATTCAATAACTGCTATCGTTTTAGAGATTTCGTATTTTTTGGGGACTGGTTTGTCAATCATTGGAACACAATTATTAATGGGCATATTTTGATTCTGCATTGTAAAACTGGGAATTGGTGGAGTGTTAATCATTGGAATACTATAAAACGGAATGAAAACAATTGTATTCATTTTGTTTTGTACGTCATTGATTTCTGGTCCTAATTTACTTTCAATATTTTTTGCATTAGGTTTGTTATCTGGCTTGTTGTCATTATTTTCTATTTCTTTCTTACTTTCAATATTTTTTGCATTAGGTTTGTTGTCATTATTTTCTATTTCTTTCTTACTTTCAATATTTTTTGCCTTTGGTTTGTTATCTGGCTTGTTGTCATTATTTTCTATTTCTTTCTTACTTTCATTGTTTTCTTTATTTGATTCTTCTCCTGTTGAACTATTAGGTGATATTGTTACAGAATTATCACTTTGTGTAGACGTAGTTGCCTCTGAGCTACTTAAGTTTCCACATTCATTATCAGAGTCAACTAATTCTATAACATCAACATTTTTGCTATCTGTATTACATGATTTTTTACTCTGTGCCATAATTCTTTGTCGTTTAGGCTTCGTTTTTCTTATTTTGTTATTTGGTTTTCTCTTTTTTGCTTTGATATTTTCTTGTACTTCCTCTTGATCTTCAACTTCTACCACAGTTACATTATTTGATTTATTTGGTTCTGCAAATAAATTTGTATAACATTTTAGTTGCATTGCAGATATTAGTACACTTATTTATTTAATTACTTATAATAAGCTTCATGGACAAAAAAATTTACACAACCCGAGCGTTGTGTGCTGCGCCTTGTGAGTGAGGAGGCCCAATCCTTCCCCTTCCCCAATCCCTCCTAATTCCCAAAATCTCCAAATCTTTAACCCCCAAAAGGTCGGCAATGCACTCGTTACTCCTCCGTCGTCGTTGCGGATGTCCATGGACGGCGCTGATTGCTTACCATCAGGTAATGACCTATCACATAAAAAGGGGCAGCCAAGGATGCTAATCTTGAAGTGACTCAAGAGTTATTGGGACCAACAGGACTGTGATAAAAAGAACAAAAAATTAATGATATTTCCTTCCTCTAGTGTTGAATGAGGATTAGATATTTCTCAAAAATGGTTAAGTGTTATTTTTGTTACAGTGCTTGATATTGATAGTGTATATATGCCGCATGCATCTCTGATAACAGAAGGATTCAGATGTGCCAAATTGCCAATGGGGTAGACAGATCCCATTCAAAACCCTCCCCCTGTTGTAAACCACGATGAAACTGGCACTAGCATTCATACAGTGTAATTTATTAACAATAACTTCATCTTCAAATACTTACCATCACAGGTTTTACTCTTCATGTCAGTCTGTGAGTCTGACAAGTTAAACTGAGTTTTATTATCCCTCAAATCAGTAGATAATGTAACGAAAGGAACCTTTTTTCTCACTCTCCCAGACTTTAGCTCTTCGCACAAAGTCTTTATATGTAAGAATTTGTGGTTGGGGTCCCTCAACAACATTTTATGCACTCTCTTTAGGAGGTTTGTTAGTGCTTTGGACTTTTTTAATTCTGGATTTGAGTCTCTGTATAAAGGTATCAGTGTTTTATGAATCACTCTTGACATGCCAGCACCATTTTGCATATTCAAACAGGTGTTAATTATATTGTCCATGAGATTGTTATTACGAAGATTGATTCTGAATGAACTTTCATCTGTGCTTTCCTTTTCTGATACTTTTTTAGTTTTATCCCCTGCATTATTAGTACCTGCTTCATTTATTTGCATATGTGGTTCATCATCTATTACAATAGTGGAATCAGGTTTTTGTTCAGTTATAATCACATCATCATCGACTATCACTACAGCACCCTGGAATTCGTCATTTTAATATTCACAAATACAGAATAAGTTTCAATTCAGTGTTGACTAACAACAGTTTATATTCTTGTTCAGTAAATTGAAATGATAAATACTGGTAAAAAACACTTTACAACAAAATACTGTCATAGATAAATCGTTATTTTTTTACATAGCAGAGGTATTTGTACTAAAATAAATAAATACATACTAGTACAGTTACTGAAATTCTTGATAGAGGGTAAAATAAGAAGGCAAAGGTATTAATATAATACAAAGTTTTGTTGCAAAAGTTTACTGAGAAACTGGATGTAAAAATTACTTGTAGCTTTTTAATAATTGTTTCTATTGAAATGCTGTGAAATGACTACTTACGGCGTCGCCATCGTCATCCTCTATTACTACAGGCTCTGAATCCATTATAGAAAAATATCTTTAACAATTAAGTATACAAAATATAAACACTTTTACATACAAATTGCACAATGTGCAGTTTGACATCTTTCCGTTTTTGTTTTTGTGTTAAATTTGACATTTCATGTTTTGATGTTTGAGACGTCATGTAGTCAACTTTAGTTCGTTCAGAAAGACCAAAACATTGAGTAAGTGGATGTTTTATAAAACACTAGTAGCCTACCCTTGCTTCGCAGGTGTCAACTATCTTGCTTCAAGGGCGTCGCCAAGGCAGCTGCCCACCCCTGCCCTGGAGATTCTATAAATGTTGCCAAATATAATGCAAAAAAATAAGTAAGATATACAAAATTTTAGAAAAGTGTCGTTTTTGACATTTTGGATTTTGTATTGTATTTGACTAGTTGAAAACTACTGTATTCATACTTTTGTACTTACGCCCGGTTCCTATAATTGAGAAACGATTCGTTTTAATTACGAATAGTAGTTTTATATACGACTCGTAAGCTTAAACCGTTCCTATAATAAACGTCTCGTCGTGCAACTTACTGACGGTTTGCAACTAACGGATATCGGTAAGCGAATTGTATGGAGATCTATGGTGACTGTGGTTTTCCTATAAATATTGTAACCGTCAGTAGACGGTCAAGATAACTATTCGTAATGTCATTTGGTCGTAATGCGTATACAATGACGATTCCTTAAATATAGGAACCGGACATTAGTCAACCTCCCCCCCCCCTGCGCCATCGGCTGGCGACGCCCTTCGTGTTAACGACGAAAAGCAATTTCCCAATTTTCCACTGACTACCAACCCCTACTTTTCTTTCTTAAAAACCTTCTCCTGAAATTAATACCTACAACAAAAAATTTGTAAAATTGGCTCAGGCATTATTGAGTTATGCACTTACTAACATATTCTACGATTCATTTTTATATATAAAGGTAGCCAATGACACACGCACATACACACAGAAAATATACGCCTCAGCAGAAAAAGAAGGCAGACGAAGAAATAGGTAATATGAAATATGCAAAGTTATCAGGGGCCAATTTTGCAAGTTTGAAATGCATTTTACGCCCTAGTTCATTCTTATAACAGTAACTATTGTACGATTTTTAAATGTGTATTGTGTTAAATTCTTTATACCTGCTTATCACTAGTAGTTCATAAAATAACTCCTGCTACAAATAAAAGGTACGTGCGCGTTAAACCCAGTAATACAGTAGAGTATTTGCAACGCGAAAGTTTAAAGTATATTATAATAGCCTCTGTCAGCAGTTACGACCACGATAGTCGAATTTAAAGTAGCTTATGCCGTATTCGAGACTGTAATCTATGTAGTATATCTATGCCAAATTTCGTTTAATTTCGTTCAGTATGTATACATGACGGACGTAACAAACATCTGTCCACCGCTTTTAAAATATTTATATTACATTGTTGCTTAATTACTTGAACCAAACAATTTTTTAACTGCAAAAAGCCCAAGGAGCACCTATTTCACTGGAACATCGTTTGTGAGTTCATATCTTCATACTTACTTGCAAATAAAAGACCAAATTGCGGATAAATATATATTTAGAGAGGCCAATTAAAATCTATTGTTATTATGTGAAATAAACTGCAACATTAAAATTGGCTTGTTGCATTGCCTTAACATTATAATAATAATGAACGCTGTATCACTTACGTAGACCTTAAGTTAAAATACATTTCTTTATAAACTACAATAAAAGAAAATACTAAGCAATGAAAATGCAACAGTAAATGAGATGGATGATATTTGGGCGAATTTAATTCCAAATCTATACACATAATAAGAGATTTTTACATACTTTACATGCTTACAATTCCGATAATATTCTATGAAGAAAAAATATATAAATATAAGGACTATTTTGTTCAAAGCACCATAGTGGCCGCATTGATATTTATTTCTAAATTCAATACACTATTTATAGACGAGAAATATACTTTTTTTTATTATTTATTAAATTATCCTTCATAAGTTTCCACAATTTCGTAAGTTCACAATTCTCTTCGTGAGCGATCCTTAATTAACACAATTTACCCAATATCTCCACCTCATCTGAAAACAAATTTAATCACACATTAATATAGACTTTTATAACATTTTATTATATTGATTAAATATTCAGTTTACACCTTCGAGTTGTTTCGCTTTAGTAGAAAAATATACCGATATAATTTGCAAGTTCAAATAATATTACAATTGTTGTATATTGTTAACTTATTTGCTAGTATTGTTTATTGTTTCTATATGTTATTGTTTCAATAAACTGTTTAATCGTATACGCAATAATACGAGTAATTGACAATCCACATATTTTCCCCATTAATTTCCCCAACTCTGTGTCTGTTTACCTTTTTGACAAAATTCATCAAGTTATTTGCTTGGACACGTCAAGCAGAGACAGGGGTTGGTTATCAGTCTGATTTTTCAATAGTCAGATAAATGTTATCTGAGGAATAAAATTATTGTGGTCACTGTCTTATACAAACATTCTGACGCGAGAGCATCATAAATTATTGCCTAAGTAACTTTTATCTAACCATTGCAAAATTAGCCCTTATAATTTATTTGTAAGCCAAATTGCTGTGCCCTAGCACAGTCACCTATTTATTTAATAGATCAATATATTGATAGGGATATATCGTGAGAACTCACTTGAAATAACCTAGAAAAGCTGAGAGAAAAGTGCATCTCGTCGCGCACGGTTCTCATGATAAGATACGATTGTGAGTTGTGAAAATAGCAGCCCTTTTCTCAGTTTCTTCACGTGAATAAGGGTCATCTATGAACTATATCATCAAAAGTATAACTGTGTGTTGTGAAAAATTAATAATTCATATTTTAAAACGTATAACTCACGTAGACACGGCGTTGCGCAGTGGCAGGCGGGCCCTCAGTCGTCGCGCGCCACGTGCCGGCGCTGCAGAGCGAGGGCCAAGTCGTGGTGCAGCGCCACCTTGCGTCTCTCCACCTCAACCGGCAGCACCGACCGAAGACCGTTCACTATATTCTTGGTCTTATCTAGAAGTGAAAAAAAAACAATAAACGTTAGTTTGTTACATTGAAAAGATCTGTGTATCAGTCCGTCCACTAGTGACAAAATTGAGTCATTCTAGTGTGTAGATAACTTTGGAAAAAAGGAGATAATCCAATATAACTATGGAAAATAATGGAAAGTTATGAGCGAGGGGGTGTGTCAGAGGTGCCACGGCCAGGATGAACAACTTACGGATACCTGAAAGAGCTGTTCCATGCTAGAATCAAACCTGATACCTCACAGTAGCCGGTTGCCCAGTCATCGCGACAGCCACAATGTAGTCATAGCACAATGCTTTTTGAGGGGGGCAATTATCAAATGACTTCTCACACCCAGGGTGAGGCGAGAGGGAATGTCAAACTCTTACTGACTAAAAGCCCACTCCATTCTTTCTCCTATTCCAGGCCGAGGCAATGGTTCAACCTTCAACCTTCATCGTAAAAATCAAAAAATGGCAAGCAACTCTACATAAAACCTTTTTATATTATTGATATTCAATTGATGCCGCAGTTCTTTGTGGCGCTTCTAATCAAATTCTGGCAAGCAACTTGACATAAAAACTTTTAACTATTCAGAGAAATTAATTAATAAGTTACCGAAATAGATGTCGTTAAGCGTGTTCCTGATCTTGTTCTCCATGTCCTCGACCATGCGGCCGATGTTCACGATGTGCGGCGTCACGTCACTCACTGCAGAGTCCTGTTCCGCCTGAAACATTTTAATAAAATATTTGTTTTAGTACGAAGTAAAAGAAAAAGTAGTTTTATTTTACTTGTGAAACCATTTGATGATGTTGATGATGATATTTCGAAAATATTAATTAATTTAATATAGTATGTAATAGTTTCCAACTAGTCTAATTCAATACATTTATCCAAATGTAAAAAGCGATACCTTTATGAAATTTGTATGAAACTTAAAACTATGATGTCAGTATTTTTACGTCAAAAGCTTTACATGTTGCTTAAAAATTTGCTAAAAATATCTAAAATTTTGTGTATCAACAGATAGATGACTAAAAGTATAGTTATTTTTCAATATTTTATTGTATTGAAACATCGAAATAATTTATTTTTGACCTAGGAATCTACCCAATTAATACAAAAATAGGACAGCATTATTTTCGCAGAAGAGATTCATGCCACACATTAGTTTTTAATTGTGATAATAATACTAACATAATCCAGGTTTGATAACAGCCAAACAAGTACTTTGTTTTATTTTATTATCACACACATATTACATTTAAACGAAATTTCAAGTATCTCTAAAAATATCATCATGGACATCATCATGGACTATTGTATACTTTAGTATATTACTACTATAGTATTAGTTAGTTGTAGCTAACCACATTTTGTACAGCATATCCAGCCATAATATGTAGTATCTACTATTCTTCTGTATTCTACACACACAAGTGCAATATTATTTTCAACCAATTAGCCAAAAGAGATAAGACCGGTCTTACACTGTGTATATTTTCTGATATGATATAATGTGAAGTTTTCTGATATAATTTGTATGATTATTTATCTTATTAAGGGCTGATTTTTCAGTGGTTAGATAAAAGTTATCTGAATAATTATGATGCTGTTGCATCAGAATGCTTGTATAAGACAGTGACAGCAACAGTTTTATTCCTCAGGTAACTTTTATCTAACCATTGATAAATCAGTACTTAATATTAGAAACATATCCTGTTTGTTTTTATTCATTTTGTTACACCCTGTCTTGTTTTTTATTGAAGAGTTTTCAAATAAAGTATACTGTACCTATGTGCCTTTGACTTATTGTACTAACTTTTTTATAATTGATGCGTTGAATATAAATAAGTAGATAAATAAACATGAAACTTTGTAAGTATATGGATGTTTGTTATTTTTTTACATAACACTCCTGATTGAATTTGAATTAGTTTTGGCAGAGACATAATATGTAGTTACATAGGCAACTTATTCCCCAATAATGTGGGTAAATCCACTGCTAGAAATCAGTATTTCATTATTAAATGATTAAATTGCATAAAGATATTAACTTTACCATAATTATTACCTATCACTGTTTTAACTGTTTGACTAAGGCCTATATGAGTTTCAAGACACGCTAATAGCTCATATTAGTGAGTGTAGTGTAGTTCAAAAAGCATATTAATTGTTTTGATATGTTTCACATGAAAAAAGGTTTTATACCTGTCTGGTGAGACTGCCACCAAGGTTCATGGTCCCGCTGCTCTCCTTGTTAGTCTGCAGCCACAACATGGCCGTTGATGTGAGTTTGTAGTGAGCATTGCGACCCGAGCTCTTCTCAATCACTTCCACTACATGAATTGAGTCCCAACAACCTTTGATCTTTTGGGAACCATCGCCAGCCTTCTTTATCAATATCACACCTGAAAGAATAATAGTTAATATTAATCAATTTTATATTGTACGAAAATTCTGTTAAATGTATTGGCTAACATAAAAACGCCAAATATTGATACAAACATATAATACCTATGTAATTTAACAAATGAATGGCACAATGCCATGATTAATTCAATTTAATGATTAAGTTCTTGTAAATAAGTATTTACTTTAATCTTCCCCCAATGGGGGACATATCTAATGATCTTGATTTCAATACTTTCCCAAGCTTTGAAAACTAGGCACAACCTAAGAAAATGGTAAAGGAAAATATATTCAGAATAATCAACTTGTTGTGTTTCCTGTTGCAGCTTCCTAACCTATATCTCATTATTAATATAGCACTAACCAGCAAACCCATGATCCATGTCCCACAGGTACACAGAGCTCACTCCACCTTCGAAGTACATCTCTCTGTACTGGTCAAAAGCGTGATTGGCATCGATTTCTAATTTCCTCAACCTCTCTGAAGGCATAGACCCATCCTCCAGTGGAGGGTCGTACGTATTCGACCATGGCGATCTGTACGAGTCTCCGTCCCGGTTGTAATCGCACAACAAGTAATCCTTCCCCGTGCTACGGTCCTGAGCAATCTTTAGAGGCTGGTCTACTGAAGATAGCAGGTCATCGCACATATTAGGCACCAGATCAATTAAATCTGTCAAGTTTTTCTCAATCTGCTGGGGAGGCAACCTCCGCATCAAGTCCAACGCACAGTCCATTTGTTGGTCAGTCTGTAATCACGATAAAACATAACACAGATTTAGTAAATTCCGTTAATTTTGGTGCATTAGTCATCATAACAAATAGTCTTATAGAACATTACGACGGTTCTAATTCATATAAACGCTACTTACCATGATTAGACGAGAATATATAAAATGAAAATAAATATAACAAATTAATTACAATGTTTTTACTGTTAGAATTGTTTTATTCTAAATATTAGGAAATCCCAACCCGAATTGATAACTTGACGTAATTTGACAACAGCTCCATTCGTCTGGAAATGGTTTTTAGGTTAGTGTCTCACAGTAACATTCTTTGTTGTTTTCGAACGCACAACAGTTTGTATTCTCGATAGCTTTATTTACTAAACAGTAAGTTGTAATAAAAATTTAGTCATTTATAATATAAGTAAATTAATTTTTATTGATATCTTTAAAAAGCACTTTTATAAAAATTATCGGCAGTTCTTGTGGAATTTTCAAAATTCTTGCGGATTTGTGCAAACATGTTTGTCTAGAGGCCGGAAACAGCTGGCACGTCACTATAAACTTTGCTGAGGAATGTTGTGGGATGATGAGACGCCGGTATATCTATTTCGCTCTTTCTCACTAAAATTCCTATAGGAAGAAAGAAAGCGTCATTTTCAATGAAAACATGTAACTGTTTCCGGTTAAATGTCAGTTTGTGAATGATGTTGTGTGTGTCAAAGTTTTGTTGTTATTACTTCTAATTTCGATAATAATTGTGTATTACATAAATTAACACTTTTATCAATGGGATTGTGATCCCATTTTGTGTGAGCACCGACGGCAACGAGTTACGTGAAGTGTGAATTCTCTGCAAGGTTCGCATTGTGTACTTAATTATACTTATTCAAATGATTCACGTTATGAGAATGTTATCACAGTTATTATTATAAAGGTTGTATTATACGCGCCTAAACGGGAAGTAGGTGTAGTGAAGCCGCAATTAGCTGGTGTTGTTTAAGTGTTCAGTGGCGCAGAGATTACAAATAAGGTAATCCTATTTGCACTAGGTTATGACCAAGTTATGGCCTCTAGAAACCCTATGATAGTTGCTGCTGCATTTCACTGTCATATAGCACATGTTTTTTGTGATACTGGTATGTTATTGACAGGAGCATTCTCTGGAAAAGATAAAAAAAGTTTGTGTTCAATATACAATTTTGTTTTTAGTGGTTTCTGTTAAGAAACAATGAGGCTTTGTATTGCAGTATAGTACTGTATTCAAATAAGGAACTGCTCTTACCATGGTGATGTCTTCGTCAAAAATATTTGGGTGTGTTCAAAGATATTATTATGATAAACACTGTAATTTTATAAACTTAGTTTGGAACTTTTTTATATAAGTTTTTAACAGTTACTAAATAATAGTATTTAGTATTCAATACTTCTAGAACAGAATGTTTGATGGTTTTAAAATTTTAAAAGTTTTGGTGCTCCCATTTGAAAGGTTACCATCCATTATTTTAAATATCCTAAGCTGTAACAACTACAATATTCTCTTGGTTGCCATCATATGAAAAAATACATGTGAAAAAGCTCGAAAACTATCTAAAAAGCGGTGTGCTTTATGAAATCTGCTTGGTACTATAATAATGATATTATAAAGGATTGCTTATAATACTCCGTAACCTCCTAATGGTTGATTGACACAAAGTAAATTATACACTGATAACTCTGAAAGTTGAATCTATGCATTCAACCAAAAAATTGGTAAAACCTTGCATGCTTATTTGTAATATTAAAAAATTTAAGAATATTATTCCATTTAACAAAACATGTTTGTACATATTATTATAAGATTCCAATAAGCTTCAACTTTTTTATATTATTATTGGTTTAACTGGACTTTATGTGTGCTCATTATTTGAATAACTGGTTTTCAACATTTAATAAAGTTGATATACAAAAATAATATAAAATTAAAATGAAATTAGAATTAAAATTAAAATTAGTAATGTGAAAATTATACAACATACATATGAATGTAATATAGGGGTAGAGAAAGTGACTTTATTTTATATTATGTAGTGATTAGGTCTACCTATGGTTGTTTACACTTACAATACACACATTAAAACTAAACACAGTACAATTATAACTTGTAAATACTTCAAATGTAAAAACAAAACAATGCTAAAAAAAGAAACAATATCAAATCCAAAAATTGATGATTTTGTCTAAATAGATATTTTAGTTCTAGTTTTTGTTTGAAACCGCAGTGCGGACACAGTTTCGTAATATGTTTGCTTTCATGAGTGAGGTGGTAATTTTTAGAGTTAGCATGTGTTACTGAACATTTCCTAGTTTTTAATAGCTGCTAACTGGAGTATTAATGAGTATACTCATTTGTTTTGAAAAGGTGATCAAATTGTTTAGGATTTTATTATGACCAAACCATTTCCCAGGTCCCATTTATTGTGAATTTTCAATATTCCATTTTATATATTTTATTTGCAATATTTCTGTTGTAGTATGTGTGTACAAAATTCAAAGAAAGGTATAGTTTTTGCCAATTTAATAAAAGTGTTGAATTTGACTTGTTGGCAACTACCATATTATGTTTTGTTAAAATTGTAGTTAATTGTCTAAAACCTTTAATCATATTGTATTTCCAAGGTCAGACAAGGGTAATTTAATAAACATTCTCATAACATTTTCAAATCCAACAGAGTTTTAAGAAATGTGCACTTAAACTAATTTTCTAGAAACTTACACCATTTTTTTTTCTTATTACTTTTCAGGTGATTAATAAATAAAAGGTGCTAGGTAGACCTGTCATGATGCCGACTCAATTGGTGAATCAGGATAACCACCAGAATGATGTCCGTGTGAAGACGGTGTACAACGGTGATGTGATGATTACATACATCAACCACAATATCAACTTTGAAGAGTTCACGCAGGAGATGGTGGCTATATGCCGTTTTATGCCTGATCAGGTAATTCTTGTTTTATTTATGTGTTACAATATTTAAATATAAAGCATTGTCTAAGTTTTACAATGTGCAATCGATAACTGTTTATTTAAAATATATTTAATTAAAAAAATATATAACTGCCTTTGTAATGGAGACACACTATAACCTCTCTTAACTCCTTTCTATTTAACTAGACTTGTTTGACAGCTACACTCAGTGGTATCTGAATTTTGTTTCATTAACTTTCAAGTATGGCACTTGAAAAGTTTGCAAATAAATAACTAACACTATATTATGGTTTGTAGGTGTTCACGATGAAGTGGGTCGACGAGGAAGGCGACCCGTGCACCATATCGACGCAGCTGGAGCTGGACGAGGCGCTGCGGCTCTACGAGATCAACAGAGACTCCGAGCTCACTGTTCACGGTATGTAAAAACAGTCCATATATGTACAAAAGTAGTGACACCACGACCTCACATAAAACCGGCGTGAAACAACGTTTACATTGAGTTTCGCCGTGTGATTGAGGTTGCCATATTCCGAATACCCTTCAAAAGGCTGGCAACGGACTTGTAACATTATTAATATTGCGTATATATAAGTATTGCGGGTGTTTTTGGACGCCGCAGTTAATGCGATCCGTCTGCTCATTTGCCTTGAAATTCTTTTTAAACTTTGCATTAAAGTTGAAAGTACATCTCTATCATAGTATTATCTTACTATCTCGGTGAAATACTAGCCCTAAACTAATAAACGTACGTTTTATAAACAAACCTACTAATAATATACTTGTACGGCATCTTGTTTGCTCAACTTCGCCTAGATAGCCTAAACAAATATAGTTGTTTGTCATAAAAATTCAAGTGAGCTGTGATTGGTTAGCCAAAATTCTGTACACCAATTAAATTCAAGTAGGTAGTTAGGTACCTGTCTTTCTTTTCTTTCTTATCTTTCAACATACATGACATTGCTTTCCATGCAGTTAATTTTTAAAAATGTACTTACCTACCTACACATACACTGTCTTATTTTAGTAACTTTTTCTTAGTTATTTTTAGTAAATTAGTTACTTACACTGTCAATTAAAAAAATTGTAATAACTAAAATTCTTAGACATTTTGTTTTGTTAAAACGGTCGTTTATCCTAAAATAATTAAATAATACATCTTGAAGACTCGGCTTAGAGTGCTATTATGAAATAAAAAGCGCTTGATTAATTACATCGCTTTTAGTTTAAGTAGAGACACTTTGTCACAGTCATTACCAGGGTTTTATGGCTGTAGTAGTTCGCGCTTAACGTGATAGATGGCGCTGTCGCCACCGAACGGACCACAGAGGTTTAATATCGTCCGAGTTTTAATAATCTTGGAGGAGTTTAAAAGTGATTAAAGTATTAAAGATATGGGTTTGCTCTTAGCGGTTACACAAATATAATATGTCCTTTTCAAATAACTGGTTTGAAAATTAAGTTCCGTGGTCTCTGCTCGGTATTATGTGGGATTGTATTAAAAAAGTTTTAACTAACGGAATTTTATCGCGTACATAATAACGTATGGTTTTTTTAAATCGTAAATAAGATTTTATATCCACTCGTTGCGTTGATTGATTTGTTTATTAGGTGAATAGGTTGAGTAACAATATTAATACGTTTATAAGTATATTTCTTCGCTTCGATACTTATTACGTACACCATTCTAGCATCCAGCGGATTAATTTTGAATTATGTGTGTAGTATATCTATTTCGCTCGTAGATTTTTTTTATAATTAGCGCCTGATTGTGTCTTGTTTTCATCTCTTACTCAGCCAAAACTGAATACTTACTGCTCTTACTGACTAAAAACCACCCCGTCCCTTGTCCTGCTTCTAGCCAAGACCTCGGTATTGGCTACGTGCGCGACAGTGGCGACGCGTAGCGTTTACAACATTTGCGGAAGCTGTCAAACAATAACAATGTAAATATTATAATTTTCATTCCAAATATAAATAAAACCAAAGATTAAAATAGTATTGTTGACGTTATTTAAGTGCAATTTATTCAATAGTGTTACTGTAAAATGAATATAATAATTAAAACCGACAGGTGATCCTCCGCATTTGTTTCCAATTTCTGCCGTGTTGTGCGCTGCGGTCGTTATCTGTCCGCCACTACTCGCTTTGGACATAGCCAATAGTAACCTCCCTAAGTCGGCTCTCGTATGATAAGCAAACATTTATCTACTAATATTATAAAGAGGCAAAATTTGTAAGTTTGTATGTAGGGGGTAATCCTTAGAACCGCTGGTCGGATTGCCAAAATTCTTTCACTGATAGATAGACAAATGTTCCTGAGTGCTATAGGCTATAAAATATCACGCTACAATCAAATGAAGCAGAGCAGCGAGTGAAACCGCACGAGAATAGCTATAGGTATGTACTTAATATTTTTGTAATAATGACTTTCATAACTAGCCTTCTTTTTAGTAAAACTACTCAATAGGTACGTGTTACAAGGTCAATACTGTTATAATTACTGTGATAGGGTTTCAACATGTTCAACGATTGTAAATTTTCCTGATTTATTATACAGGACTCAATTTTAACTGCAAGCTGAGTGTAGACAAATTGATACTTGAGTCTTGGCGAAATCCTTAGGTCTGCGGGCATATTTACTCACGTCGAGTTTTGTAAAATTATCTGCAATTTATTTATAATTAAAATAGGAACTTTAATGTTTTAACTTGTTTTATTCTAAAAGCATTCGTTTTGACTTAGAATAAGCGCGCGAGGACCGAGGTAGTTTATTTAAAGTGTATTTCTTCACATATTTTACTATTAATCTTTGAGTTTGAGTATAAAAAGGTTTAGCATATATACCTACATAGATAGCCGCTCGCTTACTCAGTGACGAAAGCACTAGAGCACCCCAACCTACTACAATCGCGGAAACAGCGACAAACAATTTACGGCATATGTCCGAGCGGGGACGTTTCTCTCTCGTCCGTGCGATGTACTACAATACAGAATGTTCTGTCGGTTTATCGGCAGTATTACCCCGATGACGATTCGGTAGGCCACTTATCGCAGCATTTTGCACAATGTTTACCCGGCCCTGTACTTTCGCTATAAAATTCTTATCTACCCGCATTGCGAATCCGGGCGGTGGCCATTTCCATATTCAGATTGGCGTTACGTCGACAGCGATATTTCCTCATTTTTTTGCCGTCCGCCGCAGCGATCAGACGTATCCAGTCACGTTCGGCGGATTCGGAAATGTGATAGCTTTGTTACAGTTTCTGTTATTGTTTTCTCTTCCTTCACGGTACGTTGTCGGACATGGAATTGAATGTAAGAATAAATTCGTTCAATGGTACACTTTATTTTCAGTTTGAACGTGCTGGAAAAGCTTTTATGATGTAGAGGCAAACTTACCCAGTAAGGAAGAATGTTATAGATACTAGGTATAGATTCAAGTTTCACATAGGTGCCAGCAATAAACGACATTACTGGCACATACCTTTAGATAATTTATATGAAATGAAATGATTGCACATTGTTGTGAATCTCATTAGCATATTCATACTGAAGCAAATGCAATATTATTTAAGAGTATTCTACCTTCATTAGCTAGTCTGGTAATGAATACGGCGAGCGGAGTAAGTTTCCCCACATAATCGTGGCTAACAATCATACATTCATGTCGTAGGAGTTGGAGCCACCTTCGGCCGAGTCCGAGCACACGTCCCGCGAGGATTTAGTGAGGCGTCCGTGTAACTTGGCGTACGCTCCAAACCGTTTGTAAATAAAACGGAAGCGGCCCAAACTTGTATGCAAACAGGGACGGAGGAACTTGCTCTAATAAAGTACAAACAATGTGGGAATTTTGGCGCCCAACGTGGGCCACGGTTTGCTCGTCCAACCGCCTGTAGTCGCCGTGCAATTAGGGATATTTTAATTAACTTTGCGAGCGTTATGAACGTCAATTCAGAATCCTATTCTGTTAATTGAATACGTGGCCCGCCCTCGAATGGGATTGCTGTTGTTTCCTAACGGCTATTCGTTTAATCCTCCCACCTTTAATTGATATTTCTGTCGCTGTAAGGTGTGTCTGATAAGTCCTTTACATTTATTGTTCAACAGACGCTTTGTGAATGTGTTGTGACACGCGGGTTAACGCATGAGGTGACGACTCCTCGAAATTAAAATTAGATATGTTCGTAAACAGACTTCATAACGGTATGTAAGATAAGAGAATTGTGTTTTCTCACACAGGTGAACGTACCGCAGCCCCGCAAGATGGCGCTGCGAACTTCCACCCTAATTAATGTATCCCAGTGTAATTTCGCGCCGAGCAACTTTCCTGTACCGCTATATTAAATTCATAGTTACATTGTTTGATAGTGGAATTTGTTGCGAAGTTTGTCTTTGCTCACAAGTTGCTACGATGAGGTAAACTAATTAACGTATTAGTGATTAACCACGTATTAATTGATACGCTTGTGTTACACATGCTTTGCTTCACAACAATAGCTTATAGATATTTTGAAATATTTGTTTCTTATGTTTTATCTTTGAATGTCACGGTGGTCAATTTGTATTACCACATAGGTCGTAGACGCAGTTTTTTTGTACCATATCTGTAAAGAAAAGTATTAAAAATAATGTGATAAATCAAATTGTTTCTTAATAGCGGCCAGTTTTAAAGATCGAAATATTTTTTATTATTTTCATTTGTTTAACAAAACATTACCGCGTACTAAGATTTGTCCTATTTCATGGGTGCGTTTTACAAACATACAATTTCAAATACACATCACTGCCAGACTTAACATTTTGTGGATCACATCAGAAAGAGTTGTTCCGTGCGGGAATCGAAACCGCGACTCCTCCGTACGGCAGCCACCGTCAAACGTGTATATTTATAGAACAATTTATTTATCACAAAGAAAATATTACCATTTATAATACTTTATATCAATTACTAAATATTTCCAATGTGTGTGTGCCGCAATGTTTGTATGCAATGAAGAGTATCGTCACGGCCGGATAAATGTTTAACAACTGTCTTTGTTTAATAATAGTATGTCATTTATCTATTACTAGCTAACCTCGCGTGGTTTCACCGGCTGTTCTGCTCCTACAGGCCGTAGCGTGATCTTTTATATCATGTAGCCTTACTCGATAAATGGCTTAACAAACTTAAAAATAATTGTTCAATTCGAACCAGTAGTTTCGGAGATCACCGCGTTCAAGTAAACAAACTCTTCAGCTTTATAATATTATAAGTATAGATATGATACTGTAAGATTTCTCTTCATTTATTTGTGTTTTGAATTGTAAGAGTCCAGAGAGTCATGCTTCGGCGCGAATGAGCCAGCTCGAGAGTGATAGTCGCCAATAATACCGGCGTAAAACAGCACACACGTTATGTTTCGCCACTTGAGTCAA